GCGCGCGCTAGAAAAAAGGGAGCGCTACGATAGACCGCGCTATCTCATTGCGGTGTGAACAGCCTAAGAGAGAAGGAAAAAAGGGAAAGGGAAAGAAAATATAAAAGGAAAGAAAGAAGAGGAATAAGAAGGAAAGAGGGAAACGGGGGAAGGGCGAAGGGCTCTTGCCTCCTCCTCACTCCCCCCCCCCCCGCCAAAAAATAAATAAGGAGAGAGAGAAGGGAAAGGGAAAGGGAAAGAAAATATAAAAGGAAAGAAAGAAGAGGAAGAAGGAAAGAGGGAAACGGGGGAAGGGCGAAAGGCTCTTACCTCCCCCCCCCCCCGCCAAAAAAATAAATAAGAGAGAGAGAGAGAGAGAGAGAAGGGAAAGGGAAAGAAAGAAGAGGAATAAGAGGGAAACAGGGGAAGGGCGAAGGGCTCTTGCCTCCTCCCCCCCCCCCCCCCCCGCCAAAAATAAATAAGAGAGAGAAGGGAAAGGGAAAGAAAATATAAAAGGAAAGAAAGAAGAGGAATAAGAAGGAAAGAGGGAAACGGGGGAAGGGCGAAGGGCTCTTGCCTCCTCCTCCCTCCCCACCCCCCGCCAAAAAAATAAATAAGAGATAGAGAGAGAAGGGAAAGGGAAAGGGAAAGAGAAGATAAAAGGAAAGAAAGAAGAGGAAGAAGAAGAAGAAAAGAGGGAAACGGGGGCGAAGGGCTCTTGCATCCCCCCGCCCAAAAAATAAATAAGAGAGAGAGAGAGAGAGAAGGGAAAGGGAAAGAGAATAAAAAAGGAAAGGAAGAAGAATAAGAAGAAAAGAGGGGCTCTTGCCTCCTCCCCCCCCCCTCCCAGTCCCGCGCCAACAAATAAATAGGAGAGAGAGAGAGATAGAGAGAAGGGAAAGGGAAAGGGAAAGAAAATATAAAAGGAAAGAAAGAAGAAGAAGACGGAAAGAGGGAAACGGGGGAAGGGCGAAAGGCTCTTACCTCCCCCTCCCCCCTCCCGCCATAAAGGGAAAGAGAAGGGAGAGGGAAAGAAAATATAAAAGGAAAGAAAGAAGAGGAAAAAGAATAAGAAAAGAGGGAAACAGGGGCGAAGGGCTCTTGCCTCCTTTCTTTTCTTTCTTTTCCTTTCTTTCCTATTCTCCCTCTTTTTCGTTTTTCTCTTTCTTTCTTCTCTTTCCCTTTCCTTCTCTCTCTCTCTCTTATTTATTTTTTGGCGGGGGGCGGGGGACGAGGCAAAAGCCCTTTGCCCCCGTTTCCCTCTTTTCTTCTTCTTCCTCTTCTTTCTTTCCTTTTATCTTCTCTTTCCCTTTCCCTTTCCCTTCTCTCTCTCTCTCTGATTTATTTTTTGGCGGGGGGGGGGGGGGGGGGGGGGGGGGGGGGGGGGCAAGAGTCCTTCGCCCTTCCCCCGTTTTCCTCTTTTCTTCTTCTTCCTCTTCTTTCTTTCCTTTTATCTTCTCTTTCCCTTTCCCTTTCCCTTCTCTCTCTCTCTCTGATTTATTTTTTGGCGGGGAGGGGGGGGGGAGTGAGGAGGAGGCAAGAGCCCTTCGCCCCCCCCCCCCCCCCCCCCCCCGTTTCCCTCTTTTCTTCTTATTATTCTTTCTTTCCTTTTATCTTCTCTTTCCCTTTCCCTTTTTTTCTTCTCTCTGTCTCCCCCAGCTAGGGCTGGTTTTGTTTACGAAGCGCCCGTCAGGAGAGTACACGATAGAGTACACGATAGAGTACACGATAAAATTGACGATATCGTGAACTTTATATCGTGAACTTCACGATAAAATTCACGATCGTGAAAAGTTCACGATAAAGTTCACGATATCGTCAATTTCGTGAATTTCTTCGTGAAAAATATGCGATAAAATTGACGATATCGTGAATTTTATCGCATATTTTTCACGATTTAGTCTATTCGCGATGTCCCTTCAGGGCCACCATACGATTCAGACGGTAGGAATTTAAATCCTCTTATGTCATCCCTTTCCATGCCATACATGTAGGTGGTAAATCCTGCCCCAGAATTTGAATGTTGAACAGTGCGTAAATCAGGGCATATTTTGTTTATATTGAAACATAAACTGAAACATTTATGATATTCTTGTTTTCTAAATAAATATGATATATCACTGATTCCAGTTGCTACTAAAATGATAGGCTCAATTTTGAACAAGTTGAATCAAGCTACAGTAAGTGGCAGAAAATTGGTAGAAAAGAATATTTATATAATGAATGTAAATGATAGTTATCATAATATTTATTTAATTTTAATTGTAACTTGTAATTTCAAATTGTATACCGGTACGTAAACATGTACTGTACATATAATGTACATGTAAATAATCAATAAAAGGATGTCAAGTCGCATAAAAGCACCACATTACTCACAGTTTGTTTCATTGTCTACATTTTGTATATTAATCTGAATCAAAATAAAAGCTTGAATGTAGTAACAATCTAACAATTTTTTTTTTTTTTTTGACACCAAGTACAAGTAAGTAACTTAGTTTAAGGTTGACAGAAAATCTGTGCAAATCTGTACCACTGTACTGTGCGTGTATGATATACTGTACATACTGTACAATGGCCTGTGCTGATCCATTGAATGCGTAGACACCCATGGCCGCTCGTCTAAATCCCTTTTTTGTATTTTGAGGTCACAAAGTCCAGATATTCTTTATATATATATGCAAGCTTCAAAGATGATAATAACATCACATGCATTGTACAATATACAGCTGCTGAGACAAACAATGAAGGAGAGGGGGGGGGGTGTAGGCTGAAAACAGGCAGGTGTTCGTATTTGTGCTCCTTGGAGAGTCTTGCTGGTTACCGCTACATGTACTTACATTTGCGTTCATGTACTGATTATGACAATAATAATAATATGTCTTGTTTACCCAGGGTAGCCCTATCAGTATTACTGTAATGTTGTTCTCCTTGAGGGCCCTGCAACTATATTATTACCCTGGCTTTACATTAGCTGCATTTGCACTGCAAGCAAAAATCATTGATTTTTCTCACATTCCGAAATGGAACCATTTTTTTTTCTATAGTAAATAGAAAGTGGAAAGGTAGAGAAAGAATGCACTTTAAATCCTGCTCCAAGGGGTCATTGTCATTGACTTGTGAAATTACCCACTATCAAGGAATCGGGGTCAAACTGTCAAACAGACGAGATTTGTGATCATGTTTGTTTGGTATTCCTAGTTTGGTGATTTGTTTCACAGAATGTACAGTTTACCAAGAAATCAGGATGTTTGTGAACTACATGTAGGTATGTGTTGTATTTGATTGAATTGCGCTGGTCTTAGGAGAATCCTGATTTCAAAATTGTTGGTGCTAATGTAGGCCTACTGTATTAGCAGCTGTATTGTGGATGCGATGTAAATTTCTTTTTTATATACTGTACATGTACCTTGTACAATGCCCGGCCCCCCCACTCAGTGTTATTTAGGGTACGCATATGCTCGTACCCTTTTTTTGAAAGCACCCCCTATCTGAGGACTGCCAACATTTCCGAACCCCCATTTCGCGGGCTTTTCGCGTGCTTTTCCTGCCTTGGAGACCCCCCTAAATCAGGAAAAATGCTCAATGTACCCCCCTTAATTCAGAATAATTTCTCAGGAGTCCAAAGAGATGAGAGAAAAAAAGAAAAACACCCCCTTTTTAAAGAAATCTCCGGGTGAAAAGTCAAATACACCCCTTTTTTTTACAATTCTCGGGCCGGACTTTGTCGCACGAAAAGTACCCCTTTACCGGACATTTTGGCAACACGCATGCGGTCATTCCGACCTCTGAGTGGGGGGCCGGGGTACAATGTAGTCTCACACTACAAGAATTCTTAGACCATGTCATGCTTCATGTAAAAAATTTCCCACATGACTTCTTGAATGGTAACTTGTCAGATTTTTATTTTGCCAACTCTGAACAGAAACTCTCTCTCACTCGCTAGACATGACATGACATTTACCAAAACCTGTATGTATTTTGAATCACTGAGTACAAATTGTAGGCCTTTCTATACTACCGGTACAGAAGTTAGTAATAATATGGTTTGGTCGTTGTGCAATACATAGGCCTACAGGTACATGTACAAACTGTACATTACATGATACATGTATGTAATGCAATGTCCACTGACCAAGTTGCTAATTTGAGATTCGCAACTAGGATTTAGTGATCTCATATCTCTAACATTCATAATTCCATACATGTAGGCCTGATTAATTCAAACTTTCACCTTTCTATTTATAAGATTTTTCTGCTTCTAGATACCAATGAAATTATTATCCTTTTAACCTGTCCTCTCATTTGTTATTTCCCCCCTCAGTTGCCTTGTGACAAAAACACAGTACCGGTACATACAGTACATGTACATCATTGAGGGTAGTCAGCCCCTAAAGCTCCTTTCACATATATGACAAGATAAACCAAATATTAAAAGAAAATGGTCAAGGCAAACAAGATTTCAAGATTTCAAATTTATTCATGTTTCCAACAAAACATTACAAATCAATTATAAGCATTTAAAACAAATTTAAGAAATACATGTTGAAAACAGAGGGGTCCACTAAAAAGCAATGCTTGTACAAGTGTGAACACCTCAAATGAAACTTAGGAATAATGAGTAATTAAATTAACTAATCTGTAACTACAAAAGGAACTACAAAATAGGGGAAAGAAGGGACAAGACAATACTCTTCACGACAAAATATTTGTTTAAAAAAAAAAACATATACATGTAAGTGTACAGAATTTCAAAGCACACCTTGCATACAATTTTTTTTGTTTTGTTGCCATATTGTGTGTGACTTGTCGTGTGGCTGTTTACCTCATTACATTAAGAGGCTTAATTTAAGTCTTTTTAAGACCAACTCTGACTCAATTTTGTACATCATATACTGTATGATATAAATCTATGCTCTCTGATGTACATGTAGGCCTACAAGTTTATTTGTTTAGTTGTAATTTCAAACAGCCATGACAGACATACTAATGACAGCTTTCCTTTTTCTTTTATATTCTAGGAAACAATTTTCAAGGAAACGAAGGAGATTCTTAAAGGCACTATGGAGCAGGAACACAAAATGATGTGCAATTTACTCCTAACACAAAATGGAAGAACTTCTAGCAGACTTTATGCACTTGTGAGCATATTTCTATGTTTCGTCATCTTTTTACATCACCCAAACAGTGTGGATGGGACATTAGAGACATATGCACCTGTCGAGTTCATTAGCAAAGCAGAAGATCCAAAATTTGCCAATTTAGCTGTGGATGAAAGAACTGGTGATATGTACATTGGAGCAGAAAACTCCTTATTTCACCTCCATTCAGACTTCAGTTTACAGGAAGAAGTAAATACTGCGCCTGATCCTGCAGAATGCCAGGATCCACAAACCCCCTGCAAGAACTACAACAGGATTCTTGCTGTTGTACCATCTCCCATAGAAAAGCTTATCACCTGTGGAAGCTTTTCACGCAGGTGTCAGTATCGTGAGCTCGTGAACATATCAGATTCTGTTGAGTATGACAGAATAGTGATCAATGCAAAAACCCCGGCAGTGGCAGTTCTCCATGATGATTACATGTATGTTGGAGTTAGTCCTGAGTTCCCTGCTCCTGCTAATCATCCTACCTACGTCACCCAATTGCATCTGGATTCGCTATCTTTGCGGGAAAGGCTCAATAGTCAGCACGTTCGTGCAAGTCAGGCGGGGTTTTCATTAAACTTCGTCAATGGATTTGAATTTGAAGGGTTCACATATTTTGTCACCAATCAGCAGCAATTAATTGATGAGGATCCACCTGCAGATCACGATTACATATCAAAGATTAACAGAGTTTGCCAAGACGGCGACAGCTTTGATTCATTTACAGAAGTTCAGCTAACATGTTCTTTAGCCAATGGCAGAACCTACAACCTCATTCAGGCCATTGAAGTTTCTATCCCTGGGAATGATCTTGGTGAATCTTTCAATAGCAGTGATCCTCTTCTCTATGCTGTTTTTGCTGAGTCTTCTGAGTTCACAGATGAAGCTGCTGATCCTGCTCACTCTGCGCTATGTATCTACAAGATGTCTGAGTTACTTGCAAAGTTTAAAACTGCAGTGGAAGATTGTACAAGTAAAGGAGAGGTTGAGGTCCATGGAATACGCCATTTACAATCCAGATGCAACAATATTGTAAGCGAAAGTACTTTGTTTATCGATGTTCCCTGAGCATTCTGAAGTACTGTAGTTAGGATTTCATTTTATGTACAGTTCATTTTAGTATCTTTGGAATCCTACCTATATTTGCAACAACAACAAAAAACAAACAAACTTTTTTCTCATAAATAGGGTAAAAATCAATTTTTCACATGTTCCCTTTTTCTGGTTTGCATGGCAGATAGTCCTAAAGTGTAAATATTTTTAAATGTTATGTTTTTGGGTTGTCCGTTCTCATGAATGGGTTATCTCAAGAACCAATTGATGGATTCCCTCCAAACTTGGGTCATGTATGTAACCCTGTAAACGATCATCGGATCAGCCGCCGATACCGATCCGATCAGGGGTGATCGGATAATAATTTCTGATCGGCGATCAATTAAAATGATCGGAAAAAAATTGGCAGAATTTTTTTTTTTTTTTTTTTTTTATTTTTTAATGAAGAAAATTTTCAAGTTTTTGGCTATCAAATGCTCAAAAAAATTCATGGCTGGGATTATTTTGTCATTTGGAGTTGTTGTAGACCATGTTTGATGATATTTAGTGCCTTTTCATGACTTTGAAATTGATAATGTTGGTCTAAGACAGGCCTTCTCAACTAGTTCATTAGAAGTGCCAAAACAAAAATGTATCGAGGTTGAAGTGCCAACCTGTTTGTTTGGTGACTGTGTTGCGAGGGAGCGTAGCGACCGAGCCGATACCGGGTGGGGTCCATGGGGCGAAGCTCCCGGAAGCTAGTGGATTTTAGGGCTAATTTAAGGCCCAGATGTGGCATTTTTAACACCTTTTTGTTCCATTAAACATCAATCGTATTTTCATATTGATTTGAAATAATTAGTACAATTCCGGGCTAAAATCTACACTGGAAGTTAATATATATGTAGTTATTTTAGTGCAATAAACACGGAAAATGTCAAAATCAAGTGAAAATCAAACAAACAAAATGGCTTACTTACATTTCGGGCTCAACTTCGACTACGTCTTTTTGATTTTGCTGATTTTTTTATTTTAAAATATATTTTTTTAATTTTGTCTTTCTTTAATTTTCAATTTTTAATTTTATTTATTTTGTATTAATGTTTCGAACAGCCACGCGCCACTCCGACTGACCGCAAGCGCCACAAGTGGCGCGCGCGCCGCCAGTTGAGAAGGCCTGGTCTAAGAGCAGAGGCAAAACATGCGGGCCGCCATCTTGGATTATAATGTAGGTATTTTTTTTTTTTAATGACGAAAATTTTCAAGTTTTTGGCTATCAAATGCTCAAAAAAATTCATGGCTGGGATTATTTTGTCATTTAGAGTTGTTGTAGACCATGTTTGTTGATATTTAGTGCCTTTTCATGACTTTGAAATTAATAATATTGGTCTGAGCAGAGGCAAAACATGCGGGCCGCCATCTTGGATTATAATGCATACCTACATTATAATCCAAGATCCAATCGCATGTTTTGCCTCTGCTCTTAGACCAATATTATTAATTTCAAAGTCATGAAAAGGCACTAAATATCAACAAACATGGTCTACAACAACTCTAAATGACAAAATAATCCCAGCCATGATTTTTTTTTAAGCATTTGATAGCCAAAAACTTGGAAATTTTTCGTCATAAAAAAAAAAAAATACCTACATTATAATCCAAGATGGCGGCCCGCATGTTTTGCCTCTGCTCTTAGACCAACATTATCAATTTCAAAGTCATGAAAAGGCACTAAATATCATCAAACATGGTCTACAACAACTCCAAATGACAAAATAATCCCAGCCATGAATTTTTTTAAAGCATTTGATAGCCAAAAACTTGAAAATTTTCTTCATTAAAAAAATTTAAAAAAAAATAAAAAAAATCAGCCGATTTTTTTTTGTCGATCTTCTGATCCGATACCGATCAAAGGTGCGAGGGTGTCGCTCCGATCTTCCGATCCGATCAGAGCCCCAACTTACAGGGTTACATGTATGAATCTTAGGGCGCGTTCATGCTTGATTTTGAAGGCAGAATGAGCGATTTGTAACGCTCATCGTAAACGCTCATCGTAATCGCAGTTCCACGGTGCACTGTTCATGCTTACTTCTCCAGGCAATTCTCCTTGGGTGGCCTTCAGCTGGATTCGCAAACCTGTGTGCGCATGCTACGTAGACCCACTAGAGGTCAGTGCGTTGACCCCATTTAAACGCGTTTACAAATTGTAAACGCATCTTTTTGTGAGTTTACGATCGGCGATCATGATCGCCGTTTTTCGGTGATTCTACAAAAGTGAGCATGAACGCAAGCGTGTTTTAAACTAAACGCGTAACAGATGCCTGATTCTGGCCGTCAAAATCAAGCATGAACGCGCCCTTACAGAGCCAATGAACTGAATAGATCTTGGAGAGTCGAGGTCTAAGTTCTAAGGTCACAGGGCAGTCAGGGCTCATTGTGTACGGTATGCATTATGCAAAAATAGCTTGTTTTCACATTATTTCAAGAACCGATTGATGGATTACCACCAAACTTGGGTCATGTATGTATCTTGCAAAGCCAATGAACTGATTAGATTTTGGGGTCATGAGGTCAAAGGTCCTGGGGCTTATTATGTATGCAAAAATAGCTTGTGAATGCATTATCAATCGAAACGATGGATGGATTACTTTTAAACTCAGAATCTGTACAACTGTATGTATCTTGCATAGCTAATTTACAGTCATTAGGTCAAAGATCAAAGGGTCATACATATAGCTTGTAATCACGATATTCTGAGAATCTGTGAAGGGATTACAATCAAACTTGAATTTAAAAATTGCTTCTGTTTTGGTATGTTAAATTGCTGATGGCGGAGGCATCATTAATTTAGTTGAGCATGCTTTCTTGGTTCATTTTGAGTGCATAATAGTGCAGTACTACAAGAAAGAAGTAACATGAGCTGGATTATATGGCTTGTAAAAGTGTACTGTACTAATAATTTAAATATTATTTCTTTAGAAAAAATTCGTAAGATTTAATACCAGAATTAGGCTATGAATAAAAGCGAAAGCAATTTATCATAAAATTTGTGAAATATTTGGCACACTTGACATTCATCTCTGAGAAAACTTCCATGCTTACGGTAGACGTTTGTCTTATTTTTTTGTTTAGTCCATACAGGCTCTTAGTCGTTAACCATGTTTATATCTAATTCTCTTTTCACACTTGTTTTGCTTAACCCCGTACTTTGCTTAGCCCCGTACTATCCTTAACCCCGGACTATCTTTTTTGGCTTTTCTCACTGCAATTCCTTAGCCCCGTACTAGCCATGGCCATGGAATTCATTAATTCGCTTCACTGCGTAGTCCCGGACTATTTTTCGTTTCTGTTCTCATTCATTTGCTTGGCACCGCAATTGCGGAGTTAGCAGGAGTTAGCACCACAATTGCGAGGTTAGCCCTGCTATTTTGCAGGGTTAGTTAACCCCGTACTATAGGTGGGGCTAAGACCCCCCTTTAACCCCACCTATAGTACGGGGTTAAGCAAATTTTTGCCAGTGTGAAAAGAAAGTGGAATAAGCTTAACCCCGGACTATAGGTAGGGCTAAAACCCTCCCTTTAACCCCACCTATAGTACGGGGTTAAGCAACATTTTGCCAGTGTGAAAAGAAAGTGGAATAAGCTTAACCCTGGACTATAGGTAGGGCTAAGTCTCCCTTTAACCCCACCTATAGTACGGGGTTAAGCAAAATTTTGCCAGTGTGAAAACAGTATTATAGTATCTAAATGTTGATTTTATATTTTCCAATACATCAGTTTGCATGTGTCTTTGATTGGTCTCTCATACTGTCATTTATTAAGGCTCCACTGGACATTGACCTGTGTAACGTGGTATGGGCCAAGTATGCCAGGGGAACCGAGCCACTTCAAGCTGAAGCTCTTATCCCATTTGATGAGGTACTTGCCACTTCGATCAGAACAGTGACTGTAGAAAACGAGACAGTGGCCCTCATAGGTACAAGCACTGGAAATCTTCTTAAGGTAGGTTTTTTTTTCTTCTTCATTTTAAAATTTATTTCATTTAGATATCGTCTTGTACATGTAGCTGGCAAAAGGGTGCAACCATTGCAATGCTTTGGACTTCAAAAATTTGCTACTTTTACCGGGTATATATACAAATAAGATATTTACCATTCAATATCACTCTTCTTCTAGTCAATAAAGAGAGAAATCCCAGTCATGTTTGAAAATTGCATAAAATGCATAGAGCAATAAAAACCATAGAAGCAAGTTTCTTGAAGTTTGCTTTAATGAGATGCACGCTTGCTTACACCTATTTTCAGCCACACAACATTTTTATGCCATTGAGAGACAAATTGAATAAATTTGGGGTAAAAGAAGTATAGCCTTTTTGTTCTCATTGGGATATTCCAAAATAATTTAAGGCACGATCTTTAACTGAATTAAGGCAGAGGTATATTGGAGATGCAGTCGCGTTTGCTTTCTTAATTTTTTACACGATGCAAATGCTAGCAAGCAGCAATGTCAAGTGGTTTAACCGCTCATTTTTGTATTATCAAATTTTTACATGTTTTAGTTCTTGCGCAAGAAAATGTTTTTAAAGATTTAAGTTCATTTCAAGTCAATAGGGAGAGGATAGAAAGTAAACGACAGTACAAGTAGTGCTAGGAAATAGTAGGCTGGCACCTACATTTATTATCATGGGTTATATTAAAGGTAAAGACCAGTTATGGTCATGCGATTGCATTGTGAAAGAAACGTTGTGGAATCGATCAGAAAATGTTGATCATCTAGCATCTAGCATCTGCAAGGTTCTGGAATCATCAAAATGATAAGAAATTTGGCCCATTCTTCGTAAAGTTACAAGCACTATACACAGAAAGATGTATATGGGACTACCCTATATCTCTCACAGACCATGAGAGAAACAAATTTACCAAATATATGAATTAGTAGGCGGTTTCACAGCAAATTTGTTATCATCATGTATTAGTCAAAACATATTCTTGCACATGATTGGTAATGAGAGCTTCCATTTCATTTTTTGAAATTGGGGCGTTTCCAATACTGGTCTTTACCTTTAAAGTAGTAGTGTAGTTAAAGGGGATGTCCATCCTGATCTTAAGTTGGTTTTAATAGAAGCAGGAAAATGAGATGAACAGGTCAGTGAAAGTTTTAGCAAAATATGTTAAAAAATAAGTTAGTATTGAATTTTTAAAGAGTAAACAGTGAAACACAACATTGGCAACACTGATGTATCTTGCGAGGTCCTCTCCTATTTGCTTTGTACAGAAATTTCATATCATTTCATTTTCGAAGTTATTGATGACTAAATTTTACAATGATGCAAACATAATATGTTTCATATTTGTATATCTTGAGTGAGTATGTGTACGTAGGAGTATGTGTACGCAGGAGTATGTGTACGCAGCTACTTTCATTTTAATGCCTACTTGCATTTCATATACATAATTATAAAGATAAGATTTAAAAAACCAGAGAATAATTTTCCTCAAATTTTTTTGATTAGCAATTTCAGCTGATGGATAAATATTTCAAATGAAATTCTGTACATTTCTATGGAAGAAAACTGCTACACAAAAGATATTATGTATAGCAGTCATGCAAAAATGCATAGCAAATTTCGATGCGATACCAGGAAAATTATTCCCTGAAAACTGCCACCGTTTTTCACGTCATGCATGAACAAGCCATTAGTTAAGAAATCTTTGCATTCATTTTTTATTTGCACCTTGTATAGTGATATACCTTTCTCTTGTTTAAAGGTTCACATCAGTGATGCAACCCATGCTAGGATGTATGAAGACGTGAAAGTAGGAGATACCAGAGTACAGCAGGATACCTACTTTAATGCCACTGATGATCATCTTTATCTCCTCACAGAACAAAAGGTAAATGGGATTAGATTGGATTTGATTTGATTTGAATGGTTTATTCAATAAAAATCTTTGCATACAAAACAGATATTTTTTCTTCAAAAAACAAGAAATGAAATACCGGTAGTACTTAAAATCAATGTAAATGAAAAATATAAATAGTACAATAATAAAAAAAAGTTAACATACTTTTGAACTGATGTAGATAATATTAGTAGACAAGTTGAATGCAGGTGTCGTTTTGTCATGAACATAATATAGCTATATTTTTAATGTTTTTATTTCGTTATTGGGAGTCATCCTGAGCCAATTCTATTTATTGATGTCTTCATTCTTTTTTCCTCTATTTTTGAATTCCTCAGTCCTTCACATCCTTGTAAAAATTCTCACAGATTCCAGATGAATTTGAATTGTATAGGACCACCATAAAGCTGCACATTTTGTCTGTTCAGAGTAGAGAGCCATATGGGCATTACCTTGAATACTCTAATATAGAATTAACACCCTTCTGACTTTCAGCAGATGATTTATCAAAGATTTGACATCAAATGATTGAACAATGGCCAATTTTGTAAGCTATAATTGACAGGATGTACATCTACATGTGATTGCAGTGTATCGATGCAGTGACTGAACTTCTTAATCAGTTATTGACCAAGTACTTTCCTTTTCCTTTTATTTTGTATAGCTTGTACGTTTGTCTGTGGTAAACTGCAGTCAGTACACAACCTGTGAGGAGTGCATTGGAGATAATGGAGGGCAAGATGGGGACCCATACTGTGGATGGTGTACATTGGAAGCAAGGTAACTATGTTGCTCATTCCATGCTAGTTATTCGTCGACCAAATAAGAGTTAACTTTGATATTTTAACATTTTGACATGGCCTTGAATTGTTATTAGTCTTCACATATATTAAGAAAATGTCAATTAATTTTTTTTTTCTTATCATTTTTTTTCTCAATGATCAATATTTAGTGTACAGGAAAATAAAATTAATGTTCATTTTCAATAAGAATAATGAGAATTCCATTTGTACCATAGTCTGAATAACCATAATACCATTAATATACATTATTAAAGTAGAGGAGTAGTTGCATAGGAATAAGTATTTTATTGAAAAGCTGGTACATTTATTATTTTTTGAAATACACTTCAAAGTATATTAATGTCTTCTCTTTCTTTCTTTGCTTTCTCCGGCCACCTTTTTCTTTGTCTCTCTCTCTCTCTTTGTCTCTCTCTCTCTCTCTCTCTCGCTCTCCCAGGTGTACACGTTACCAGGAATGTGAGAAAAAGGAGGTGCCCACCCGATGGCTACCCTTTGATTCAGAGCAGTGTATCGACATCTCAGACACATCTTTGGGCTTTAGTGTCCCTAAGTCCACCCCGTCAAAACAGGTCAGTGAATTTATTGTGATTAAATCTTGAATTAGCTGGCATTTAACACGTAGCAGTTCAGAGTTTTATAAAGGTTTTAATGAATCAGCATTTCCTCCTCAAATTAGCTCAAAATTATTCATATTTTCCTCTCTTTCATAGATTTGAAAATAAATATGTATAATGATTGATACCTTGTGTATGAAAATCACCAACAAAAATCAAGGAATTGCCAATTTGTAAATAAATATAATGATTATAAATTTCACTCTGCATTGCTAATTTAGAGTCTTCAATTGATACTTTTGATTAAATTACTCTTATTCATGAATGGCACAGTGTCCTGCAACAGAAATTGGCCCATATTTTCCAAAGATTTTTGCTTTCTGCTATTATACAGTGTATATATACAATTTGTAATTGTAGAGCATTCTGGATTGAAAGATAAAAATAAAGCATCACTTAACTGCTATGGGTTAAACCGAGACCCCCTTCTCATTGTATTGCCCCTCTTACTTCAAACTTATATTTGATTAGGATGTGAATCATGGTCAAATGAAGGGACTTATTTGTGCTTTGGTCTCCAAAGTTCAACTTGTGTTAAAATAGTTTGAATAAGCTTGGATGGACGGTGTTCTATTCTGTTTTGCATGCTAGAGGTTGTATTCTTGATGATGTATATCTTCTCATGTGTATGTCTATATGAAGAGTAATGAAGTCACTAGTGTAATTCATGTTACTGCTTCAAGTGACAGCATTTTCAATTTCTTGTGAGAAAAGGAAACTTTTAGTTCCAACTGTATGCTATTTTGAAAAATTACCCATTCTATGACATAATCTCCACTGAAACAAATATTAATTATTCATTGGAACTCACAAGAATACATGTAGTTGTACAACTTCTTGAGTGATCCCAGCTGCAATTTCTGTGAATAATATTTTTATAAAGATACTGGTACTGCATTGAATCTAAATGGATGTGTAACGGTTGGATTAATTGATAGCTGTATATAGGTATTGTGCACTATTCTTGTGCACTCATGCATTAGAATGGCTTCCATACTTGACTATGTTTGATAATAATACAAAACAATTGCCACCTCAAAAGCATTCATCAATTTTAACTACTTTTGGTTCTCTTTACATGTACTGTACAGAACAGGAACAACTGTTTGTTGCACTTTCTTATAGTGAATGGCTGTGCTACGATGTGAATAGGAATACAGCCTTTTGGGAAAATATTTTAGTTTCAAGTCTATTATGTTTGTACAGATGAGGCGATTAAAATGTTTGTGCACATCTTTCTGACAGACTTACTACATTGTAGATCTACATGTATGTGTGGGCTTCCAAACATTTATCTCAGCCATTCTTTATCACATGTGCAGTCGTGCGCAATTCTTGTAGTGCGGTACGTAGCAGACAGGTGTTCCTTTTGTTCCTTTTGGTTTTGGTTGGACCTGTTTTCATGTAATGCTGATTTAATGAATGAAAGAGAGGGGCTGGGAATAGATTAATGGTGATGAAATCATGCCCTATGAACATATATATATAAATCACAATACCATTGTCAGGGTTTGGCACTAACAGGCACCCAAAATCCAAAACTGGACCCCCAAATTTTGATTTGATTTTTTTTACTTCGGGCTCATGCATACAGACTGTCAAAAGCTCAATCCGGATCCCCTTCCAAAAACGTTTATGTGGAGCCCTACCACAATACATGTACTAACTAAATTAGTCTGACCTTGCTTGTGAATGAAGTAGTAAACCCCTCATTGTTTATATATTGAGTTTGACTTTTGGCTAAAAATGGTACTCTGAATGAGGAATCACAATAGATGTTGTGGATAACCAGAGCGTGTCAGACACAATAAGTATCAGTCACGATAGGTATCAGTTAACATGTATATATCCCAGACAAGTCTTTTCTTTCCTAATCCTGCCTGTTCCTAAAAATGACAAAAGCTGCCAATTCGTGAATGAAAAGGACCCTGAACTGTGAAAAAGTGTGCACAGGCTTCCATTGTTGCGAAAGGCTTATTGTACTGTACTACTGCTGATACCATGTCCTGTCGTGTAGCTAGGCCTTCATTGGTTCTGCATGGATTTCTAAATATATATGCGAATGAAAAGAAAGCTAGTGCAGGGACAAAAGTACAAATCAACAGAGTTTTAGATACACTAACTGCCTTGAAACAGAGAGGAATGAAAATAAGAAAGACAGAATCTTCAGTTGTGTCATATTATAGCATGCACATGTACATGTAGGTCGCAGCTTGATGCAAGTCTGTGAGCATCAGGAAGAAAAAGAATTTAAAGGGATTGGGTATCTTTGTCTCAGATTCTCAAACAAAATCCTGGAATTAGCTCATGCTGCAATGATAAGTATAAACCTTTAGGTCAGTCAGGAACCCCATGTCTTTTACAAGCCGATTGCCTGTCTGATTATCAAAAATATTTATGATTGGAAATCAAAATCAAATTATGCGTTTTCCTAACGGTTTTCATAACACTACAGTCTATTGGGGAAAACGAGTATGGTAAAACCGGTCACTCAAAGATTTTTTACTTTTTTGAGGCACTTCTTGATATTTTGAAGCGCAATTTTTTTTAGGGCTTCAATATTACACCATATCAAAGACACTGATAACATGTAGGGCCGTGTATCTCAGATTTAAAATTAATAAACGTTGCCTTTAAAAGTTAAAAAAAAGAAAAAAAGTGTCGTTTGTGGAAGTGAACAGCCCGACTGCCTCCATCGTCTCAGAAGTACACGTCTTAGAAGTACACCTCTGAGATGATGTGATGTGTAGCATGAATTGACGGCATACACTTCTTATGCATCCTTCCACTAGACTGCATGTATATCCCTGGCAACCAACAATACATTGGAATGCATCACTGCAACGCAGAGCAATCCGTTGTGACAAGCAGATGAAACATGTTGAGGCAAGACATGTAAAAGGAATTGGTAATGAGCAGAATGACTGAATGCATGACACACTGTCTCTGCGCAGTGGTCATACATTATGTAGGAACTGAATGTACCTAATAGTGTGTACACACAAAGGTGCTTCATCAGGTTTATATTGTTGACTTCAGACCTTGGGATGTATATGTTAAATAGAATTTGCAAGAGACACGTACCACAGAACACAGTACTTGCAGTAAAGGTATGTTCTTGTATGCCTACATACATGTAGGAGGCCTCACCTACAATGTCATGAGTACAACAATAATCGTAAGCATGCAATCATGCATGTTCAGTAACTGCATACATTTGCAATGTATTGTATACCGTAGTAATATGCAACTTTAGAAGTAAAAAGACTTATATGTATGAAGGTCGAAACATGAAGGCCTATACTGTGAGGTTTTGGAATCATCAAAATGATAAGAAATTGGCCCAGTCTTGCAGTCACATGCACTGTAACCAGAAATATTTAGGTAGAACCACACAAACATGTGGCATGAAAGTGTCGTCCACAACCTGTAGCTGTTAATTGTCATATTTTGAATACTCGGGCATTTAGAGCCATCCTTTTTAGTGGACACCTCTTCTATGATGTATAAACGTTCACACTTAAAAGAATGAAAAAGCTCACAAATTATTCATTCATCTTTCCCAGAACCCAACCCTCTCTGAGCTATAGACCATTCATAAATGTATAATTTTGATCCTGGTACTACTACAACTGTGTATTGTACATGTATGTGTGACTCTTTGGGTATGTTTATGCTCAACTTTTCTGGCCAGAATCAGGCACCTGTTACGCCTTTAGTTCAAACTACAGTTGCGTCCTTTCTCATTTTTGTAGAATCACCGAAAAACGGCAATCACGATCGCTGATCGTAAACTCACAAAAAGGTGCGTTTACGATTTGTTAACGCGTTTAAATGGAGTCAACACACTGACCTCTAGTGGGTCTACGCATGGACCATGGTCTATGTAGCATGCGCAGTGCAGGTTTGCGAATCCAGCTGCAAGGCCAATTAAGGCCACCCAGGGAAAATTGCCTGGAGGAGCCAGAGAAGTGAGCATAAACAGTACACCATGGAACTGCGATTACGATGAGCGTTTACGATGAGCATTACAAATCGCTCATTCTGCCTTCAAAATTTAAGCTTAAACGCACCCTTTGTCAACCTAAAATAAATGTTTCAAGGCTGTTGGTTTATGAGGAAGATGAAGGTTTCCATTTATCTCTGTTTATTACATTTTGTGGTCATGGACTGGCAGAACGCATTTCCACAAAGTTCATGACCTTGGCCAATCCTGTTGTGTAAAGTACATGTTGACGATCAAACAATTCTATTGAGATTTAAAGAAATGCATACACACTGTAGTCCACATACAAATCACGTGTTCATGTTTCCTGAACAATAATGTGAAAACAGAGCATACTTACTGCATGGCAAGAGTGAAAGATTGTTGTTAATGTATTAATCATGAGGAGCTGTGGTAACTGTATGATTGCTGTTAATGTATTAATCATGAGGAGCTGTGGTAACTGTATGAGATCTGCTATTTTGTCACAAAACACTGAATTACACTAAAACTTAAAGGAACATCTCTCAGCCAGTTATTTAAATCAATTGATATTGGTGGTTAGAATTATTTGATTTTCTTGACCTCTTTATCACATGCATGTGGTTCATTTCTCTTGAATATGGAGTCTTGCTGGTGCACTGTTGCATTTAATAGCTACCGTATTTGCCGGCGTAAAGGCCGCAGTATTTTTGGAAGAGAAAATATCAAAAAGTCGGGGTGCGGCCTATGCGGCGAAAGAGTAAAAAAAAAATTAAAAAGTAAGTAAAAACCAACACGAATTTGCACGTATGGGACTAGATCTACGAACGGTACAATAACTATACATTTCCATACATCTTACCGACAATTTTATCTTGCATTGTTGACATGAAGACGAAAATAAACTTCCAAAAACAACATCTGCCGATAGATCTTGATCTAAGTTCGTGCCAATGCATTGTAAAAGTAAAAGAAGGGCCCGTTTAACGGAGCTGCCGCGAAGCATCTAGCACGCAAAGTCGCTATTTTGAATCCATTTCAATACACAAGAGAGAGGCGCAATGTATAGATCACAGAAAACTCCATATGCTAGCATCAGTGCGGGATAGCCGAGCGGTCTAAGGCGGTGATTTTAGTCACATCAACATTTCTACGCAAGAGATCAAATCTCGACTTCGACAACTTTTTTTCATTTTTTTTTTCATGTCAAAATCGGGGTGCGGCCTATACAGCGCTGCAACCTTATCGCCGGCAAATACGGTACATGTAGCAATCTCTGTGAATGGTAGTGTTAGTGTTGAGTAAATAGGTTAGATATTGTGCAATACAGGAAGTTTAAGAGCTCGTTCAGATGTGACTCGATAAACTGCCGCAAAAAAAACCCCACACTTTTTAATGTGTAAAATGAATGGTAATTGCACAAAACAAAGGACTGAGCTCTGTTTTATCAGACAGAAAAATGTTAAGCATTAGAATTTGTCGGTTTTCTTATGAACATTGCTACCTACCGTTTATTTTTCCTGTGTTTAATTATATGTAGGCTGACAAGTTTTTATAAATTTGCAAGTGTCTAGCAAAATGTGCCATGGGGTTTGAAGAAGGATATCCCATGTACATGTACTTGTATTCTTACAATATTAACTTTACATGAACACCTACATGTACACATGACGCTGGGGAAGTAAGATAAGGGAACTGTGAGGGTGTTGAAGGAAGACTTCAATAAATTAGAAGATGTGGTAAGATGAGAACCCAGGCAACCCGTGTTGTCATGTCCTGGTAACTTCATTATCATCTTAGAATCTAGCAACGGTCTTCTGTCACTAGAACAACCAGATGTTTGTCTCAAGGAAAAATCATTAATGAGCCCCAGAAAAGTAAAATGTCAACTGCGGGTAATTGAATAGCCCGTGGAGTGTCTGCCCTGAATAGCCAGTGTTATTATTGGCCATCTCCTCTCGGAGTCGGGCAAATGCGAATGCCTCTCATGCTTTTCCTTCTACCGCAAAGGCCTGCTCATTATGAAGAGATAGATACATGTGTGTACTTGTATCGATAATGGACTCGTAATGGCCAAGTTGTCTGATGATTGAAAACTATCGTGACAGCTAGAACTCTTGAACTTTGGCAGATATTGTCAAATGTCAGGCAAATTATTTCTTCCCCAGGTCACAAATTTGTCAGGATTGTGGTATTAACAATGCACATCTTCAAAAAGTAGTGGCAGAGTACAAGTATAGCTATAAATATCATATCATATGATGGTTTTTAAGAGGTTTGGCGATCACTGTAACATGTGGTTAGGTCATATACTGCAATTTGATAGTGCACAGGAGTATAAAGTAGACTGTCATATCATTGATACAAGAGAAATAACAGGAAACCGGTGTTATGAGAACAGTCAATTACTCCTGGCGAACAAATGCTTTTCACACTTTTGGTGACCTGTAGTGATCACTGGGGTATCTAGTTCTGCTATTGTTGGGATGTTATCAAAATCAGAAGCTACTACTTGTAATCTTGAAATGTGGTAGTATGCAATATGTTGTAGTGATACAGGTATACGTATATATCACTAAAACTCAGTAATAGTAATAAAGTATGCTTCTATCAGTGATTAAATACACAGGAGCAGTCAGTGATGTACATTGTACTTCTAGAAAGCTCTGAAAAAAAATCTTATTAAACAAATTAAGTTTTAACACAAGGTAGAAAGTAGTTAGTATAAAAAGCAAGCATACAGTTTTAATTTGGCTCTTGTAAACAAAGTACTTGTTTACACTGGCTTTTATCATATATCTGATGGACTAACATATTTGCTCGTTCAACATTTGTATTACAATAGCACACTTGTAGAATATTCCCTCTGTTCCCTCTGTCCTGGAAATGTAAGAAGACAAGTTTAGCTTACCTGCACAGTAAAGATTTCATTAAAGAATCAACCCTCTTTTATGTGCTCTTGGAATAAATTGAAGCATAAAATATCATCCAAATTTGTTTTTCTTTCTCTAGATTGTCATCTCTGTTAGTCAGCTACCACCCCTCTCCCAGGGCAGTGGTTATGAATGTCGCTTTAATGAGTACACATCCAGAGTTACAGACATAGATGGTAATCAGATCACATGCCAAACCCCTCCTCAAGATATTATCCCTGAGATTGAATCTGGACAATGTAAGTATTTGCACATCTTCTTTGTTTTATTTTGATGTTTATCCTTTATGTATTTTGATCAACCTTACTGATGTATACATGTAGGTGGAACATTACACATTAGAGTAATTTTTTAATTTTATGATAAGACAACTTCTGTCTGCATTTGGGGAAATGTAATTTTGACGGAGACACAATGATCACATCTTTTTTTCTGTTGTCTAAAGTCTTTTTTTTTTTTTTTAACAGAGTAGGCTCCATGTCTATACAGCATTCGGGAGCATATTTCTCCCTTGCTGTTTGTACTTTATGAATTATAGATGCCTTGTATCTATAGATGTGCATACTATGTCATTACGTACATGTAGGCTGTGGAACAGTACTAGGATTTTATGAAAAGAAAGAACCTACTTGCTTCTTTATCTTCTTCTTTTTTGTTAATGTGTAAATTGTAAATTGCTATATGTTGGTATATGAGGAATCACATTTTTACTAAATTAAAATTCATGCCATAGCATTTGCATGCAGTTTACCATAATAATAGATACAATTCATAGCCTTGATAAATCCTCAGAAATATTCATTACCGTAGGCCGTAGTATTTTTGGAAGAGAAAATATCAAAAAGTTGGGGTTCGGCCTATGCGACGAAAGAGTAAAAAAAAATTAAAAAGTAAGTCAAAACCAGCACGAATTTGCACATATGGGACTAGATCTACGAATGGTACAATAACTATACATTTCCACACATCTTACCGACAATTTTATCTTGCATTGTTGACATGAAGACGAAAAATGAACTTCCAAAAACAACATCTGCCGATAGATCTTGATCTAAGTTCGTGCCAATGCATTGCAAAAGTAAAAGAAGGGCCCGTTTAACGGAGCACGCGAAGTCGCTATTTTGAATCGATTTCAATACACAAGAGAGAGGCCAATGTATACATCACAAAAAACTGCATAAGCTAGCATCAGTGCGAGATGGCCGAGCGGTCTAAGGCGGTGATTTTAGTCAAATCAACATTTATACGCAATAGATCAAATCCCGACTTCGACAATTTTTTTTTTTAAATGTCAGAATCGGGGGTGCGGCCTGTACAGCGCTGCGGCCTTATCGCCGGCAAACACGGTAGGCTAAAATTGATACTTGAAAGAAACATTAGCCACTTGTTTATTTATCACAATGCTCTAACAACCTATGAAGTACATATAAGTATTTGTTGTAAGTGTGATATTTCCTGTTCGATATCCCATGAAGTAAATATGAATTTGTTGTAAGTGTGGTATTTCCTGTTCTGTGAGAAATCGTTTTCTTTTTTTTACCAGAACTCAAGTTTATCTTTAATGCCCCTCTGACACCAACCTGATTGAGTGCTGTAAGAGGGGATAGAGAAATATAGAGAAATATATATATATATATATATATATATACAGTATATATATATATATATATATATACCAGTATACATTTTATTCATATTTCCCAGGGCAGACCCCCTGTCATTCCTAAATGATGTGCATCACATACCAAGTTCAAAGTCAAGGGGAAAGCCTCAAGCCTCAAGGCTCAACCACAGACAAGAGCTTGAGATCAAATTCTCAAGTACCCTACCACTTGTAAACTGAATTAGAAGCATCCATAAGTGTATCCTGAATGAACTTGTAATTCTTCATGTCTATGACATGTAGACACTTAAATGTGAAATTGAGTTTGTGGTAATAATGGATAGTGAATTCTCACTGGATCAAACAAAGCTTTTTTTTCTAAAGATATGTTCTAAACGATTTTAATTAAAAATACTTCTTAGATGAGTTATGAGCAACAAAGATAGCATATTGAAGTACAACATGTGGTCTTCCAAACTCATACACTGTAGGCGCATACATAACATTGTCTGGAGCCAGAAGGGCATTGATTGAGCTTGTATGAGTTAATGCCCTTCTGGCAATGAACAAACAGGATGTGGCCTTCTATTTGCAACAACTAAACAAAAAAACAATTTTTTTTTCTCTGCAAGTTTTTTCCTCTTTTACACATGATTTGCTTGTCTAAACCTAGTACTTTATGATGACCAAGTGAGAGTTACTTTGAACCCGTTTCTGTCTAAATGGAATTCCATTATCACAACTCAAGATTCATTTTAATGTCTTCGTTCCCCTCAATTGGCCTTTCATATAATTTTTCTACCGTTTATTTCTGCCTGCCTGGCCTGGGCTTGTATTGATTGCAGCTGCTGTAACAGTTGCCTTGAGCATCTACTCCAATGAGACCAGAGTAGCCTTTGTCAAGACGGACTTTGATTTCTACGATTGCTCTCTCATTTCAAGGTGAGGATTATTTATATTTTTCTCTCTCTATTATTATCATTGTTATTATTATTATTATTATTATCATTGTTATTATTATTATTATTATTATCATCATCATTATTGTTATATAGTTTGTCTTTAAATGAGACGGTGTCAACACATGTACAGAAAATAAAGCAAAATTTAGATCATTAGAGGTGAAAGAATTTGAAATTCCCAGTTATTTGTGATAAGATAAAGAGGGGATATCAGATTTGGCATGGGTTTTTTTGTTTCACCAGAAGAATACTTCCTTTTCAAAACTAAACACAGATGAATTATGTGTGGTATTATACTGGTGGTTCTTTACAACAGTAGTTGTCAAATCTGTCTTACGACATGCTCAAATGTAGCTGACTCTTTTACTACTCTCACTCATTTTTCGCCTTTTATCTTTTTGTTTCACCATTTGATATAATTTTTAAAACATTTCTTTTGTTCTCCCTTTCTTCCACTATGATCTCAAGAATTTTTTTTTTTTTAATTCTTCATTTTAAACCAACATCCATTTTAAGGCTACAATTCCACATGGTGCCACATGTATTCAAATTCAATCATTACTTCTGGTATTGATTTGTGTCGTTCATTAATGAAAATTGGCTGTTTGGGATTCCTCTTATTACCCTGCCTCTTTTTTTATTTGGTAAAAATTCAATATCTTGTATAATTCAAGTAGCAATTATGGTGCCTGCATACATGTACAAATGATCGAAATATTTTCAGCAACCTTGACTTGTTTTTCAACTGCCTTGAATTTTCATTCATTACTCTACCTCAACATCAGAGGAATTCATGTAGAAGGTTGGATAATCAAATTTAGTTTGAGGGATATAGAAATATAATATATGGCAGTTCCTTTCAATACTGTGAGAAGTGTCTCCATTTTCAATAGCCTAAAAGTAGCACAGGACTTGCATGTTTTCTTGTCATAAGGAAGGAAAACGTATCAAACAAATAATTAACAAACTTGTGGTTTGCACTATTGCAAGAGGAAGGAATAAAAAACAAAGTATTTGTGAGGAGAATGCTTTAGGCATATTTGATACCTTAATATCAAATTTCAATGCCTGTTTGAATATTTTCTTTACATTGAACATTTATTTCTCCAAAAAAAATATATCAGTATATTTAAATATAAATGGACGAATACCTTTTTTATACGAGAGTGTTCAAGTTTACTCACATAACAAAATGAAGATACATTTATGCAAAATTTTCCAGAATTGGTTTTTGTTCTCCATATCCAAATCATTTGCTTAAATCTTTGCCCTGTCCCATGGAATGAAGTCCTTGTTTTATGAGTCTAGATTCGCGGGGGAAAGGGGTGGGGGACTTCTATTTGGAGAAACCAAGTTTTATACATACATGTACATTTAGCTGTGGAGCAAAATGATAATATGTATGTATCATTGCATACTGCTTATTCAGGAACCTCAATACTGCAAAAGAAACTTTTTTCCAAAGTGTGGTTGGAATTCAAAACTGTTACAAAAATATATCTTTCATTTTTTTTTTATATCTATTTCCCATCTGTGGCAAAAAACTTAGGGCTAGACATGATTTCTGTAACATATTCCTCTTCCAAAAGGAAGGAAATTATTTCCAACCCAAACTCACCATTTGTTGTCTGCTGCACCCTTTAAAGAAAATTCAAGTTTTGTCAGACGGAAGGAATTGGTAAGAAAATCTTGGAAGAGGGAAAATTAATTAACCATTACCCATGTGTTTGAATTAACTGTCTGTACTTGTTAATCAACATCAGATTTTCAGAACACCGCAAATATCCTTCCTCTTGGCACATCAAAATCACTTGATCACATTCATCATTCTTCAATCATATTAAAACAAAGTTTTGTGGTTGTTAGTGTTGGTCCTTAGAATAATAACACTTTAGGGGCTTCCTGGATTAAGGAATTCATACAAAAGAATGAAAGAGCATACTTCATATTCAATTAATTTAGCTAATTTTTTTTTTTTAAATTTCGATCACAAAGCTCTGATACAAGTTTTATGTAGTTAGGCATACAGAATTGAGAAATGTAGTCATCAAATGACTTATTATGTGTTTACTCATTAGATACTAGAATGTGATGCAACATTTAATTTGTTCAGGAAAGATACGTTGAATTGAATATGCGAATGATGTAATTCTCAAAGAATTATTTTAATTCAGGGTTTCAGACGTCTCAGATGTTTGCACACTTTCGCACTTCCTCGTCATGCACTTCAATATTTCCTATTTACATGTATGTTCACATGGTCTTATTTAAAACCAGAAGGTTGTTGAGTCTGTGTTGAAGGATACTAGACAATGCCCTTTTAGCTCTCAAGAGATTATATTTTATATTGTTTGTCCAAAGAGGTTACCTTCAAACTTCTGGAGGTATGATATTTGAGGAGGACATACTGATTGCAAGGTTATCCATCCATGTAAGGGTACGAAAATGACCAGTATCATTCTCTCCTTTCCAGCTGTTCTACATGCATGAACAGCTCCTGGGCCTGTGATTGGTGTATCTATGACAACAAGTGTACTCATGACCAAGGGACATGCCAGCAAGACGACGACGACACCATCATATCTTCAAATGATGTAAGTGGAAAAACACATTATTTGTCTTTTCTTGCATTTGTATCTCGAAGGCCCCCAGGATTAAGAAAAGTTTTTTTCTAATCATTTACTTTAATAAGATTATAAGTATTATATCTTTAAAAATGTGGCTCAGAAGAAGTCTGAATGTTTTGGAAAATTGTGACCAATTAAGTTCACAAATTTTCCTTTTTTTGCAAGAAAGTTGCAATTGATTGCAAGTTACAATTGCAACTGAACTTTCTTGCACCGCCCCACTAGTCTCCAAAATTTCCCAGGACTTTGTTAGTATTCATGTTTTAACAATTAAATTAAGTTAACTAGATCTAGCTTTTATTCCCCCCTCTCTGTTTGTTGTCTTTTAATGTGTCTCGTACACAGATTTCAATTTAATTCTACTCATAAATAAAAAGAATGAAAGTGATTAGTGTCTCCAGTCACAACCCACATGCTTTATATGGTAATTGAAACCTTATGGAGTGGTAAATAAGGCCACAGAACATAAAGCCACAAACACTTGAGCTACCTGATTGATGATGTAATAAATTTAGTTTCAGTTTTCATCTAATAAGTCCTCATTGTTATGAACTGGTTGTGTGTTTATATTATAGTTGATTGATGAATAGCATAAATGATTGCTTTCAGTTTTTGCTCTTGATAGAGTACTCGTAAATGTGTATTAGAGGGCTATTCATAATGATCTGTTTTGTTTTATGACAATTAATTTGAAAGTTATTTTGATTTACCTACTGAATCGATTAACTTTTTACTCACAATGAACGCAAAGAAGTTGTGACAAGGTTTCATGTTTGAGAACTCAACTACAAGTAAATTGCACTTGTTTAATTTGGTCAATGTTGTTAATTCATTAACCTTAATTTATAGCAGTCTCAGTTCTTAATAATTCATCACCCCCAGAGTTATGATTTCGGGTTTGATCCCCACTAATGTTATAAGGTGTACATCACATTTTCTAGATTGACCATCTAAACTCATAATTTCAAAGCATTATCAAAGCAATATCAATTAAAAATAGGATTTGCAAAAAAAAATGACCTTCATGAAACATACGGGAGTAAACAAGGTTATTCCTCCTACATTATGAAATTGTAATTTTTATAAATTTACATTATTTAGCTGGGATTAAATATGTTGGTGAAATGCAATATAACATTAGAGAGCTTCAAGTACAGTACACACGTAAAATGAACATTGAATATATATGAAAAGACGCAATCCACTGATGTAATTGCCATTGAAAGCTTGACACATGTTGATAGATCATTGCATAGAGGTCCGATGCTGAAAGGTTGAAAGGGAGTGTTGAATGCATCATAACATGTACATGTATGTGTGTGTATAGTAGACTGTTCAGACTATAAACAAATTGATATGAAACTCGTTGACAGAAAGGTGTAAAGAATCCTTGTATAATGAAAGGGACATACAGTACTCTTAGATTACAATATCATATGAAGAAACTACTTTTGAAGAAGTCAATTAACATGCTGGCCAATCACCAGTGCCCGTTCATGATAAGCCCCGCCCAGATTTGTGATTTTTGTAATATGAAACTAGAAGGTGACCCTGGTTCTTTATTGAAACGATAGACACAGTGCTCGAACCGTGTGTTTCGCAATACAACGTTTTATTATACAATGTCCAGACTAAAGAAAAAGGTAACTACTTTAATAATATCGTATGAGCTGTACGATTCTCTTGTAGCTATACGGTGTATTATGGTTGTCTGAATGGAGGGTGGGGTGCGAGTCTGAGGAGATATGAGGAGTGATGTGAAGTAGTGATGATCTCATTATCTAGTACATCTCCAGGGCATCTTTCCTCCTCGCCACAACTTTTATGGGTAATCAGTCTGCCTCGATCCAAGACAGCATAAATACATACTGTACATACACACATGCCCGCGCCCGCATGTGCACTACATTGATCAAAGATTGAAATGTTCATAATACCCACCCCCAAAAAAGCCCAGTTTAGGCATGAAATGCTTTAATTGTATCTATTCTTTTTAAATTTTTCTTCTAAAATGCATTTACTCGTGCCACATTTCATGAGAATGACATTTAAAAAAAATAGATACAATGTATGGCCTGATAGAAGATGCAACACAACTCACTAGCTGCATGCATTGATTACAGGGCCTTCCATTCTCAAATCACTTGATGATTCATAAGGGCCTTTATTCAGTTCAATGAATGTCTAATGAAGAGAGTTTAAGGAGTCATTTGGACTTCATATTCGTGCATGATATTTGGTAGGGGAGTTCCTGTACATAAACTGTACATGTATCAACTTTTTATTTGACAGGTGTCTGCATTCTTCTGTTCTTAAGTACATGTATGTGTGTATGGTGGCATTGATTTGCGTCAGTTTACCTATATTGTCATTACATTTACATGTGTGTAGAAAAAGCATGTAGAAAATTGCATCCTTAGAGTTTTAAATCAGATAAAATATGTATGTAATCCTACATAGTACATGTACATGTACATTTTCTTGTAATATATCATGTGCATATGTATGTACTGTAGGCTCACTTATGAGCATGAATTTTTCCAATACATTTATAAGCTAGAGGTTATCAACCAATGTCTTATGTTCATCACTACAGTGCATGTACATGTATGTATGAAACAAAACATGCCATGTAGCAAGAGCTGTCGAATCTCTCTTGAAAATGGTATTGACTGGACAGATGGCTTTTGACTGACTGAGGTGAACCCATGGTAACTGGCTCTCGTCTCAAGCCACAAAGCATAATTGATAATCCCTTCATTTCAAGACTTGATGATAACACTTGGTGAGCACTAGCCAATCTACAGCCAAGAGATCAGCAATACAAGCACTATAAAGGAAGCCTTGTGATAAATGTAGATGCACGCATTTTTTAATAATTTTCATGAGACAGCAAATCATCAAGATGGATATGCATTGTAGACTTTGGATTATGTCTAATTGTAGTAGTTGAATAGATCTTGTAATTGTGATGGATATGAAATACTTATGATTGGCAGTTTATAATTTTGCATAAATTTGTAAGAGATAAATGAATACCGGGGTAATAATCTCCAAGTTTGGAAGCGTTTAGTGATCGTAATAAGCGGGATATAAAAGTATTATTATTATTATTATTAGTAGTAGTATTATGTTGTCTATTCATGTACACATGTATGTAGTAGAATCCCTTTGCTAAAGGTCAGGTAAAACTCTTTAGCCTTGTAGAGTTTCTTTGATGTGAGAGCATAAGAGGAGGTATCGTTTGATTGCTGACCAATCTTTATTTATAATGCACTGTTTCAGTGCCCTAAATGATGACCTATATATATGTACACTTGTACAGTCATTGCCTAAATTTAGGAGGGGGGGGGCATTTGTTGTAGTTAGTAAGAGATACATATGGTTAGATTTCTCTTACTAGTGTTAATTCCTTGCTAGCCCTTCATCGTGAAGTGGTTTACAATATAGGGAGTTTGATAATGGTCAACATATTCTCCTATTCCTTTTTTCTTTCTTTGTGATAAAGATCAGATATGTTCAAATATCTATCAATATTCTTGATAAGATATGGGATGAAAGGTGGTACAAAATCAACATGTTCTACATATTAGGGGGAGGAGAAGACTCAGTGTAGGCAAATAACAAACATGATACCCTACCACCTCCTCCTCGAAAAAGGCAAATGTGATTGATATGATTAATCGTGCAGACCTTTTGAGACGAGTCTCCAGTGATGCTCTGTCTGTCAAGCATAAACCATCCCAAGTGTTTGCCCACATACAAGACGCCCGCCCTAACCCGACCGACCGACCGAATATTTATGACTTCACAGAAAGAGGATGTAATGCATTTGCCTGTATTGTAAACCCACTGTGTGTATGTGTGTGTGTTGATAGTGCGCTGTATTTCACTCCGTTTGGAAGGAAAATGCATGGTCCTTTTTTTTTTTACTGGATGGGTGTGTTTGTGAGTGTATGCATGAAAGAGAGAGGGAGAGAGAGAGAAAGAGAGAGAGGGAAGAGAACGAGAGAGGGGGATAAAGAGAGAGAGAGAGAGAGAGAGAGATAGTGGAAATGAACAAGAGAGGGAGAGAAAGAGGGGGAGGACAAGAATAAAGGAGAGAGACCATGTGAGAGCGATGGCCATATGAAGGATTTCCATCTGTCATGAACAATTAATTACTAAGATTGGCACATTGTACTACCATACAGCATAAGTTTCTATTTGATCAAAGCAAGATTTAAAAGTATGAAGTTCTAACTTCTAAGCCATTTTGCATGAGTAGAAGTAGTAAAAAATAAAATTTAAAAAAATAAAAAACATGACAAAAATGGTCTATTACTAAAAATAAGATAATAACTTTCCGGTTTTCATACAGAAATACGTTCTGACTTTTTGCATACATGTAGTTGTTTCATTCACAATGCCAAGAATCAATTGTCTCTCTTTTGTACATTATGCGTGTATTTTGTATATTTTAAACAATCCCTTGACATTGCATTAGAAATTACCAATTCTATTATTTTTGTTTCTATATATGCATTTTCATGATTGGTTGATCATTAAATTCATGTTATTTTTTTTCTTTTTTCCTTTTGTCATATCAGGCCAATGCAATTGAGCAATGTCCTGCCATCATCGCTCCTGAGCCAAGTCTACTCCTTTCAGTAGGAATAGAGAAGAGCTTTCAATTTGCCGCCAGGAATCTTCCCTTTGATGCTACCAAGGTAAGCCAGAGATGTATTTAACAAAATATATATATCTTCAGACGACAAAATTGAAGGTATACTTTGAAAATGTGCATAGTGATTCAAAATTGACTTGCTTGTTTAAATATGGTAGGTTAATTTTTTTATATATTTTTTTAACGTTGTGAAAGGGGGTCTGGAGAGATATTTCTTCGAAAGTAGCCATCATCCTCTCCCAAATTTTCAAAATCCCAATCATTTAATAAAACCAGACTATGTACTTGTGCCTTTAATAGCAGGCTTGTTTCATTATGAATTTTCTGGGCTGTAGAGGTTTCCTACATTAGCCTGTAACCTACAGGTCAAGTATAATCATTGGCATTAGTGCTTGCATGTATATTCAGGTTGGGTGGCATAAGGTAATTTGGATGCAACATCAATGCTCTATTGGATGAAATGAACACATGTTTATTCATGATGATGTAAAGAATGCTCCAATGTCTAATGAGCCAATACAAGGCCCTGATGTCTCTTCTTCTCAGCACATACTTAACATTAATTTTATCACCTCATTTAATATAGAGTGGTGAAGTGTGATGTCATCAAAACTTTATTTTTAGAATTTCTCAATTTTTTCTTCATTTTCCAAAAGAACATAAAAAATAATGTCCGAATGTCCAAAACCAATTGAATATATGTTTCATAACATTAGGAACCAGAGCACTATAACACTGAGTTCCCATAGGACATATATTTATTCAGATGGTCATATCTCAGCCAATACTTAACATCTTCAATTGGTTTTCAACATTCAGACATTATTTTTTATGCTCTTTTGGAAAATGAAGAAAAAATTGAAAAATTCAAAAAATAGATTCTTATGATGTCACAGCTTTGGTACTCTATTCCTTCTATTTTGAGTTATGTGATACTTGTATATAATGTCCAGTTTGATCTAAAATGATGCACATGCTTGAACATTCTGATACTTATATCTCCTTGAAGGTTATGGGATACGAGTGTGTGTTGGAGTACGAGGGGAGACAGCATCCTACCATAGCCACTGTTACTTCACACACACTAGTCACATGTCAGAGTAATATGGTAAGTGCTATGCCCAACTAGTTTTCCTATCTTGCCAGGTTGGCATTTTTCTAATGCACAATGTATATGGACTGACAAAGTTTTTGTACGTAATGGTTCAAGTTCTGGTAAATCAGTTAAACCTGACCCTGAGTCTAAAGGAAAATTTAGACCTCAGAGTAACATCGTTTGTTAAATCATATGATGAACAAAAGTGTAATCCCAGCATCAGTTATAAATTGTAGTAGAATATTAACCAATATAGTTACAGTCAAACGAATAGGGTGTTGTAGAACCTGTCTAGAGAGGTCACCTACCTACAGTGTCCACTTTTCCTATTTCAGATCATAACTTGAGTCTTGAGCTTTTAGTGTTCAAGTCATATTCTCTTTAAAATAAAATAAAAAGTTGGTCGCATATTCCTGGGCCATATATGTTTATGTTGCATAAACCCTCCTTGTATTTTGAGAGTTTTTTTAGAAGAAAAATATAGCAATACTTCAAATATTGCATCCATTTTACCATAGGTTACATGTTATGTTTAATGTTCCTATCTCTGACCCCCCCCCCCCTTTATTGATGTTTCATGTTGGATATATTTACCATACTGTAAACAGTACCTGAATAGGGAAACAATGCAATAGCTGCCAAAGGAAAGTGAGGATTACAAAAAGTAATCCATGAAGCTCTCATAACATGTCTGGGCAATGAAGAGATCTTGACAATTTATGTGTTGACCTGAGATCTATGAAAAGTGGTAGCTGTCATGGGACCATTGTTATTACTATTGTAAATGATAACTTCCTATATCACTCTGATTTTGACATACACACGTCTAATCCTTCCTCTTTCCTTCCTCTTTTATCAGACCGGGAGAAAGATCGTACCCAAGATAAAATAATTATCTTTCAGAAAATATGTACATGAATGTGTACATGTATACTATCATTGTATATCATTTCGCATTATTAGCAGTGGCCACAGAAAGGCTCTGGATTCTATGCAAAGTCAGACTGGCTGTATACATGTATAAGGAAATATGGGTTTGTTTTTTTTCACTTAGACTTTACCTGGTAAGATGAGACTTATCCCAGGGTACTTACATTACAATTTATTTTCACCAACTGTGTATCACATGGCGCATCCAAAATTGTTCAAATCTTAATAATTCCAATCTTTGATTAGATTATGCATGTCTTGTTTAAAATGTGTTGTTTATGTTTTTTTATATAAAGTTATACTGAAGTAAGAATATGGCAATATTTTAAACGAATTCTTTCCTTTTTATGTCTACTTTTGCAACTATTACAGTATACGTATACCACCAACTCACCAAATATCAAGGCGAGCGTATCTGTTCGGTGGAATGGATCAAATGTTATAGACGACGATAACATCACAGGTTAGCAAAATCTTCATGACATTTTGTTGTTTGTCTGTGTGTTTGGTTGTTTTATTTAGCATTAGTTTTCTCCTGTTTTACTATTTCATCATTATCATTGCAGATCTCATTAGTGTTTGCATTGTGCCTTTTTTTTTTTTGTCTTCCCAAATGGCTGATTGTGGTTATGATGATTTTGTTTTGTTTTAATGTGGGCAGCATTTGTTCCTACAATGTATGTGCAATGCCCGTGTTAAAAGCAATGCTCTATTGAACATTAACCTTGTTGTGGTTAGTTAAATGTATATGCATTATTATGTTGTTGTGAAACATGGGTATGGTGCCAACATCACATGCTTGCTGCATCCATCATATGTTATTGTCTGTGGCTTGAGCAGGATGGATTAATACAGGTATTGTGTAATAGAAACCGCAACTACCCACGTCACAATGACTTGCATGGAAGGAATACATTTTTAATCGAAGTGCAGTGTTCAGGATATGCAACAGGAAAAGTGCATTGCTGTCAGTGGAATAAAGGATCAAAACATATTTGCTACGCGGAAATCCTTATAAGTAATGAGATTTAAAGACATTTTAAAGATAGAAGAAATATTTAACAATCGATAGGAAGAATACAAAACTTCTCTTTTTATCCTCTTCATGGAAATGTCTTTCTACCACTTAACATTTCCCTAGAAGGTCTAACTCCTTTCTGTATTTTACTTCAAAAAATGTTTATACAGTACATGTTAACTCTGATTCTGTAGTTACAAAAATGACAGAGCTCTTTATGATTACAATTATACCATCAAGTTAATCATTAGCTACCTGTCATGGACCACCACTAAGCGAAAGTACTCATAACTGCGATGGTATAGGATTGACCCCCATTCTGTTATGACTCAAGTAGCAACAAGAGGTTAAAGATATACTTGAGTTCTGGTAATGCGATTGCATTGTGAAAGAAAAGGTGTGGAATGGATCAGAAAAGTTGATCATATAGCATATGTAAGTAATGGTGTGTAATGCAAGGTTCTGGAGTCATCAAAATCATCATAAATTTGGCATAGTCTTGGTAAAGTAACAATCACTTACACAGAAAGATGTATATGGGACAACACACATGGTGTCGGGGCTAGTACTACCCTGATTTTCTTATCTTTCTATTCTCATTACTCAGCCAGTATACGTTTTCTTCCAAAATTGTTTGGCACATGTAATTTATTTGTAATCTTGAACATTCAGTGTGAGTTTCGTTAGATTCTGTGAGAATTCATTTTCTTTTTTTACCAGAACTCAAGTTTATCTTTAATGAGATTGAACCATTGGCTGAACCTGTTATATAGTGTTCAATTTATGATGTCATGTCACACCTCAGATCATTTGTAAAGGTTGACAGGAACTGTCTCCACAATCAATCATATGAGGAATGAAGCTGAAATGCCTGTTCTTATTAAAACCTGTCTGTACTAGTTTGGCCCGGAGGGATTAAACCACCCAGCATGGTCACTGGCAGCTCAGCTTTCAATTAACATAGGGAAAAAAGGATCATGGGGGACCAACGGTCACTGCTTAGGCATTGTTTTCTTTATAGAGGGAGCAAGTAGCTACAAGTAGTACATCGAGGCTTTCAAGAGTGCTCTGTACTGGGTATTGGTCATTTTCTGTTTCATATATTACCACACACAAAGAAAACTTTAACTAATCCTAATAAGGACTAAGATTATTTTAGTATGTATGGCAGGCTCAACGCTAACAGAAGACAGGAACATGTGGGCCTCCAAATAGTAACTGCGGTCTCCCACAGTTTCTAAATTTTAACGGGCTTATGCATACTGAACCGAAAGATTTCAACCTAGACCCTCTAAGATAAAACTTAATATAGAGACCTGGATATGGGCAAAATCCATTACAATCGCCCTTCTCTGTTTATCACTTTCAATGGGTTCGCCATCATGGTTCATTTTAATACACAAACATGCTTAAACTGATACATTGACACATATGTTGTAACATTGTCCTTGATTCTTATTTACCATGCAGTGACGTTGTACAACTGTTCAGTGGACCGGGACAGCTGCAGTCGTTGTCTGTCTCCCGACTTCACTGACTCCGACCTGTCATGTCAGTGGTGTGGAAGCACCTGCGCTGTGATGAACAGCACCTTGTGCACTGCCCCAGGTGTTACGCCTGTCTTGCAGGGTACAGGAGTATGCGCTAATCCAAGAATCACCGATGTAAGTCCTTATACTGGATGTATCAATTATCATCATGAGTTCATAATTACCTCATCTTTTACCTCAAGTATCCTCTTGTGGGAATACAACTGGAGTCGCAAACACTTAAACATACAATGCTACAAATAAAATGGGCATAAGATTTTCCTTGACATTAAGTTATTAAATGAAAAGATATTCTATCAGAGGTATTTACGGTTATTTTCACAGAGTACATAGATCAACATTTATCGTCACTTAATGACTATTTTCACTTTATATCACATTATTTTGTTGAAAATCTGCTGTACTGCCGTTGATATCTCTGCAAGCAGACAACTGTAGGACCAATACTATTTGTTAAATATTAAGGAAAATGGGGGAAATCTGTGGAAATATATGGTACTTCATTGAATCTGTCAAAACAAAGTTGTTCAATGAAACATTCAATTATGATATTCAAACAGTGCTCATCACATATGACAAGTCTCTATACAATTCCATTTTTTCATTGGATGTTACCACCAAATTTTTCTTTTACCGAAGGTGTCTATTCTCATCAAAGAGTTGATTTCAAATCCCCTTTGCCTGTTTCAATCTGCAAGCTTTACTAGTGGGAATCCACAATAAATTTAATGAGTAAGGTGCACAAGATATATACATTCGTCAACATTTCATCTTGTGATTCCAATTGATCAGATTTCTCCAACAAGTGGACCAATAGAAGGCAAGACGATTGTGACAATTTCCGGAACAGACATTGGCCAGTCGGTTGAAGACCTGGTTAGTGTGACACTTGGTGAATCCAATTGCAATTTTACAGACTTGAAGGAGTCATACGACCCAGGAAGGAGGTGAGTTAAACATTCTAATGTTGTCTAAATGTTGCCTTTTCACTTAATTCCCATGTAGGGCCAGGCAGAAGGGGGTTTCTTTCGTTCCGTCTTCTTACTTGTTGTCATAAAAGCTTGTAACATCAGCGCTATTTAATTGTTTTTGCTTCTCTCTCTCCCGCAATCTGTCTCAAGGGCAGGTGATATATTGCCATTCATTTTCTTCCTTCATTTCTTTCTTTCCATCGGCTTACTTTTTGTCATAAAAGCCGGTAACATCAACGATTTTAACAGAGTCTTTTGTTCTTTTTCCCGCGGGCGGAAGAAAGGGGGCGGTTGGCGGTTTATAAAACATTAATTACGGTAGTCCTGAACATAATGTGCAATCTCAACTGTGCAGATGTGAGTTGTGTTTTTCAGTATAAATAATAAAGCAGGTTAGCCTGTTTATAGTCTACTGGTCCAAACAACCAAATTTATACAGAATTACCTAGCGCTAGATTATCTGAAAAGCCCAATTCCACTGCCTGAATTTAGGAATACTTTTGATTTTGTCTTATAAATGCTTTTTATATTGATGACATTGTTATATATTTGAGGTTGATGGTTTGATTCATGAATGGATTGTTATTTCTTTTTTGATACTTTCTATCAGTGTGAGTTGTAGAACATCTGCAGGTCCTGTTGGACCGGCCAGTGCTGTAATTGTCCTATTGGTGAATGGCGTAAGAGTGAATGGAACAGGTGGGCTGAAATTCAACTATGAGGTATGTATAGTTTCCAGGTTTAAATCGCAAATTATTGTTCTTTTGATACTTGTTTGGTAATTAATTATGTTCATATTTCAAAAATTCAGTAGAAAAACATTGATTTGATATCTGCTCTTAGCTTTGTTTTATCACAGATATAGGGCCACGGCTTGGGTTGTGGTAACGAGTATGATTTGGGTTAGGTATATGGTTGCTTCCCGGGTTGGAATTAAGAATTAAATTAGTTATTAGTTGAAGGCAGAGTACATGTTGCAAAGGTAAGGGTTGTATTTATAGTGATCTGTTTTATTACAAACATCATGCAGAAAGGTTGCTGTGTTTCATTGGCGCAGTATTTTACGACAATGTGAAAACAAGTCTCCTTCTGTAGACTACGTTAAAATGATTGTTGAATAATAAGAGTGATAATTGAATTTTTTTTGTCTTGATATTCCTTTCATTTCAGGACCCCTCAATCACCAGCATCTTCCCGACAGAGGGCCTTGAGGCGGGTGGTACCCAAGTGACAGTGACTGGCCAGTTTCTCAATACCGGTAGTTCTATCTCTGCCATGTTCGGGGATTCCCCATGCATCTTCAAGAGGTATGTTACTGCAATGTTGATAATTGTAGCCTTATGTTACTCTTTGTGTTATGCATGGAGTTTTTCAGCTCTTTAGTGCTGTCTTATGGTTTTTGCAGGGTTTGTATCTTCTCCACCAAAACAATGCAGTCCAAAATATAGCAAACCCCTGTCTTTAGTAAAGATAAATGTTTATAATCGGTGCCTCAATGATGTGTCTTTCAACTCATTCTGAATTCTTTACTTTTTTTGTCCAACAAATTGTATTTCCTTTTTCCTAATTTAAAAAAATCTATTTTAAGCTTCTTTGATTATTCTTTTTATTTGATTGACCTGTGGAAATGAAATCTACCTGTACGATATTCCCTCAATGTTGTTCATGTCAATATTATGAGAAGAGCTGATTCTAAAACTACTTCCCTCATGACAACCATCCCTTGCCCTACTACCCTACACAAGCATCCTCCAAGACAGCTACCCAGCCCCCTTCCTCTCCCCTTCCCCCTCTCCTCTCCCCCTCAACAATGACACATTGGACAATTTCCCTATGACATTGGTAACAAGTCGGACAACTGTCACCGTCTTTCTCCAAGTATCTGTTATCGTTATCATGGAACTTGAGGCAGGTTACTACACTTGTGCTATAAAGTTATCCAATAAAGTCTACTACTTCTAATATATACTATTATATCATGCATACAAAATTTATTGGCTTTTGATTGGTTGAGAGCTCGTCATGTGACCAAAATATTTCATCTATTTTAAGGTTGCTCTGAAAAAGTACTATATGAGAGTACTATTTGGGAGTTGAAAAAAATTGTGAATTATTTTTTTTTAATTATTTTTTTTTTCTTTTTCAATTTCTTAATTTAATGAAAACTAGATATTTTAAATCTTTTTTGATAAAAATTGACATTTTTTTTTTTATTTTATTTATTTTTTTCTCCAAAAAAGGGATTAACCATGCCTTCTATTTGAGGTACTGGTTAAAACTATGGGCCTCGGTGACTCCAAAAGTACCATTTACTATTGGAGTCACCTCTTGCGCAAAGTTTTAACCAGAACCTCTCAAGACAGTGTATATTTGTATACCACAGTGACAACCCCAAAAATAGCAAAGTGTCTTTCTTGACTTTCTCATCCATTTATAGTCCTCCCACAAGTATGCAGGGAGTGTGTACCACCACTAGTGCATCTCGACCTGACATGGTCAATCTTACCATGGTCTTTGATGGGGCAACCAGATATTCCCAACAGCTTTTCCACTTCTTGCCGAACCCTGAGATCACCACACTCTCCACACTGAAGACCATCAAGGCGTAAGTAGTGGGTAATATGAGAGGGAGGGACAGACAGAGGGATGGACATAGGGAGGGTGTGAGAAAGAAAGAAAGAACATGAGAAATCATTAACAAATTTAATTCAGGGCATCACGGTTCTAATTAGATTTTTTCTTTCTTTTTCATTTATACATTAGTATAAGATTTTAAATGTTAATTAATCTGTTGAAAATTTATGAAGAACTGGAGGGGGAGTAATGTTAATATGTTATATGAAAACGTGAATATTTTTTTTTAAATAAAAAATGATTCCAATTTGAATTATAGGAGGAGTTTAATTCAGACACATTGTGCGGAAACACACACATGAAAGTTGGACAGCATATGCAAGAAAGGGTTGTGGTGTTAGTTATTCTTAACGCTTCTGTTTCTCCTTTAGCTCTATAGCCTTCCTGAGTAGCCCAGTGATTATTTCCTCTTCCTCTGGCTCACTTCCTTTCTACTGTCAGATAAACAGATTTTCCAACCATTTCATAAATATGAGTGCTTAGTTAGTTAGTTGTAGTTTCTCTTTGACAAAGAGCCATCAAAAGTGACCCTAAATTTATTTGGGTCAGTTACTCAGTGAAATCAATTTTGTTTTTGGTTGGTTTTTGTGTGTAATGTTAAAAGGACAATTAACGTTGCTTGTTGTACTGATAAGAAAATTTGACATCAATTGTTATGAAATGTGAATGTAAATCAAACAAATTGATTTCTTACATTAGATGTTAAAGAGCAGTCAAATACATTTTGTATTTGTACTATTATTTTATTTTTGCCCATACTATTACACATAAAAGGGCTGAAGTTAAAGAAATCTCTCTGTATTGCTGTTCCAGAATCTAAGCATGAGTTTACTATGCACCTTGGTTTTCATAAAGCTCATGTTGATCAAGCAGTATTGTTTATATGAATTCTTTATCAGTTTGTTGCAATATACCTGAAGAGCACATTCAATCTTCCAGTTTCAATTTTATGTGAGATATTTTGTGTTTTTATTATCACTTTAATACTGTATGATTTTTCTTTCTCTCTTTGCCTTCTCTCTGACAGTGGAGGTTCGCGTATTGAAGTTAGAGGATCAGGTTTTGATGTTATTCAGTCCCCTGTCATGAAAGCAACCTTCACTGGAGGGGAATCTTCCCAAGAGGTGAGTTTACAACACACCTTGTATTGGACTTTGTTCTATTGTCCACTTAACAGATTATACATTTTTATTTCTGCATGAGATTTATACAAGCATATGCTTAAATTATGGGTGAATTTTGAAGAAAACAAAAATTTCTTACTGGCAAATTGCCAACCAGAAATTTGGGTGATGATCTGAATATATATTAATGAATGAATTGCCATTATGTTACCAATGGTGAAGGTCGTTTTTAACAAATTTGTGTCCCATGTCTATGTGGAGTATGAAAAATCAGATGAACAGTTTGATTTTGTACTCTTCATCTTTTTAATATGAAACCAACCTTAGGTTTAATTAACCTTGTTGGTTGACCTTTGTGTGGGAGGTTTCCTGGCATTGTTATTGTAGATTTTGGTTAAACTGTGGTTATTATGAAAACATCCTCATTCATATGCTTTTACAAATATGAACCTTATGAACTTTTGAGATGAAGAGTTTAAAATCTATTTTCTACAACCTTACTTTCATGATTTTTGCCAAAATTATGGTCCATTAAAAATTTGAATATATGTCAAGTTATCTTTAATGTTAATTTGAAAACTATGTATCAAATTGACAATATGAATATTTATTAGGGGGTAGAGACCCCTTCCATTCCATATTTTTACTTGTATTTGATTGGTTGGATGGTAAAGAGTGAGGTAGCATAATGCTTTGATCGGCTTTGTTTTTTAATTATTTATGAGTGACGTCATAGTAGATATGGCATCGCACACAGAGTGTACACAGGTGACGTAAGTGTACCCGCTATTTTCCTATCATATACATGTAAACAGTGAAATACATTAGTAGTAATCATCAGTGTTTCTTAATCTCTTATACTTTCCCCATCCGTCTTGCATGAAGAGGGATGATATCACCATCAGCTATTTCTCTCCTAGGATGTTTGGTTCGAGCCTCTTACCCTATTTCTCTGTCCCTCTTTCTTGTTTATGCTTTGTATCCCTCTATTTTCCTATCATATACAGTCAAACCTGTCTATAGCGACCCAAGGGAAACACAAAAAGTGGCCTTTGTAGACAGGTTTGTTTAGTACATGTTTCAATGAGAAACCATTTTCAAGGGTAACAAAAATGTGGTCTTTGTAGACAGGTGGTCACTAAAGCAGGTTTGACTGTATATCTACACAGTGAAATACCAATCATAATTTTTCTTAATCTCTTCTACTTACCTCCCTCCATCAGTCTTGCATGAAGAGGGATGATACCACCATCAGCTGCACGTCTCCCACCCTCCCAGCGGGTGTCCTCCCCTACGTCCCAGTGAATAGCAGGAAGAGAAGAGCCTCCAGTACCGATCCACTGGCTTCTGCTACGCTCTCGTTCATCCTGGATGGATACAACTTCACCTATGGAGAGGACCTGGTCTACTACCCCAATCCTGTGTACGAACGCTTCAGTGATGAGGGTAACGTGCGCAAGTATGAAGAGGACATTATCATCGCGGTGAGTCGAATTTGTTTATTTGGTAGGGATTTTCTTTCCCTCCCCCCATAAAGAAAACAAACATCTTCTATTGACATGCTTTATGTTACATTCATGTTAATTGCATGATTATTTAATGGTGCCTGAATTCATTTCATGTTTTGAAAAAAGTTGTTTAAGTTTAAGTGATCATCACAATTGTACTGGAAAACAAATTCCTCCTTTTATTATATGTTGATTTTTCTATGACATGAGAATCTATGAGAAACTGCAAATTTTCTCAAGTCTCTACATATTATTATTTTTATAGAAATACTTCAATTGGTGCTTTTGAGTTATTTTTCTTTTGCATTTTCCTGAAGTAATATTGTCTTCATTTGCATTGCATTATTTTGAATGTATATTCTGAAAAAATTGGATTTTTGAAAACAATTCCTCGCGTTTTGTATCTTTTTATCATTATGCTGTAGCCATTCCATGTCTTAATTTTTTTTAGTTGATCATAATACAGTGTGGTTCACAATGCAATTGTAAAGGAATCAAAAATACCTTTCCATGCCTTGCGCCTAATGATCATGATTGAATCATTGAATCCTTGATGCTTTGCTCCTAGCGCTCACGATTGAATCATTGAATCCTCGATGCTTTGCTCCTAGTGCTCATGATTGAATCATTGAATCCTCTCTTTCACACAGGGTATGAATCTGGATTTGGCCAGCACCAAGGCTGACGTTGAGGTGATGGTAGGAGACCAGAATGGAACAGTCAGATCTTTGGCTCAAGAATTGCTCATCTTCAGCCCGCCCAAGGTTAAACCAGGCTTAGGAACCATGGATAACAGCAGCAAAGGCATGCCTCTTGTAGTGGTAAGGAGAATGCTACAAGGCCCCTAACTTACCCCCCGTAAAAAACAAAAAAATAAAAAATAAAATGAAATAAAAATAATAATAATAATATTACTAATAATAATTTTAAAAATTTAAAAAATGAAAAAAAATGAAAAAATATTAATAATACATGTTTGGCAAATTTTGGGCTCCAAACACTTCCGAGGGGCTTCAAAGGTACTACAGTGGTAACTTGTTATAACAAGGTCCTTGGGACCCAGGAAATTACCTTGTTATATCAGGAATCTTGTTATACATGTATCAGGGTAAAAAAAAAAAAAGAGGATAAAGAGCTGGGAAAAGCAAAATCACCTTTTTATATCAGATATAATTAGGTGGAGGGCAAGAATCGGCACTTAAAAAAAAAAAAAAATGGCGACCATGTATACAAGTACGACAAATCGTACATCGAGTAGTTGTCAACAGTGTATAGCCTGTTCAAAGTTTGACCTCGGATGTAATCAAATGGTAGAGGATGGGGGTACTCAAATTTGGTTTGGACGGTGGTGTGCCGCTCAAACCTCGAAACCCCTACCCATTTGTAAGGGTTGTTTGGAGGGTCTTTTCTCAAACTAAAGGCCCGTTTTTCAATATTTTCAGGTAAAATAAGGAAAACAAATCACTGAATTTCATTTCCATGACATGCTGAAAACTGTGTCGTAATCCTTACCCTGCTTGAATTCTCCTTTTTCCTTTAGGTCAAGCATGGCCACCTCGTCACCAGGATCGGCTGGATAGATTACTCCGCTGTGACAAGCGGTAATATGATGTTGATCGTCATCTTGAGTGGTGTGGGATGTCTGATCGTCATCGTCGTGTTCATCCTGGTGATGTGCTATGCGTCCTCTCGCAAGCGCTACAAGAACCAGCTTGAGCAGGTCAAGCTGGAGATGACAGAGCTGGAGGATGCTGTCAAGAATGAGGCTACTAAAGGTAGATATATGAAATCAATGGACAATTTTTTTATATACTGTCCAAGGGAAATTGGAAGTGTTTAAAAATTAGGCAAGTTTTCTGTTTGGTTTTGAATGTTTGAAGGATATATCTGCAATTTGAGAAGATGGGGTAACTCTTTCCATGGAGAAGGAGCTACTGTTGGATATGCTCAGTGTGGCTTTCTTGCATACTCTCTCTTTTATGATATGTTACAACTATAACAAATGTAAATGGTTCTTGCCTTACCCTTCCTCTATGCTCTCTCTCTTTCTCTTTGTAAGATTTCTCAATCCTTCTTTCCCTATCCTTGCCTTTTAATTTTCTGTGTCGCTGCCCTGCATTAGATGTGGCCCTGAACAAAATATAATATCTTTCTCCTAAGTACAGCAAATCATGTTATTTTTTTTTCCTTCATCATTCTTCAAATTTTAAAGTTAGTGGTTGTTGTGTATATATAAAAAGTGAACATTATACATAAAAAGGGTACATTGCGCAATCAGGGACACTAATTTTAGATTCACGATCATGCATGTCTTATTCTTCTTTTTATTACAGCGTTCTTTGACATCCAGCAAGACATGTCTGGCATCAAGGACCAGCTGCAAGACCTTGGTGGTATGCCATTCGTCACGGGTCAAGATTACATCAGGAACATGCTCTTTGTAGGACTGGATGTTCAGCCCATGATTATAGACCCACAGGTTGGTAATCCTACTCTAGCAAATTAATTATTGAGTTGAATTGGTGTATTAGATGTAGTCATAGTAATATAAATGATGATGAAGATGTCAGTGATGAGGATGATGATGATGGCAATGATGGAAATAGTGATGATGATTATGATTGTGGTAAATTGCAATGTAATGGTTGTTGTTAGTTTATTATATGATAAAGAGAATTTGTATTAAGTGTGAGTCATCATGAGATGTCATTCTAAGGGAAATCAATGTCTGTAAGGAAAAATCTTTCACTTACATTGTAGTGACTATATACTTCAGCATCGCACTAGTTTTCTATTCATATTTCTCTAGATATATGTGAACTTTGATGAGTCGAATGGGGATTCCTATTTTTGCAGAAATATGTTGAATCACAAATTATAGCTGAATGTATGTTCATTTGGAAATATAACAGCCCATTGTATTAAAGAGAAAATGTGAATGACCCATGAGTGATTGGAGGGAACTCTGTTACTTTTTTCTTTTTTCATTGCTTGATGTAGCGCCCCGAAGAAAACTTGACCAGAGCCATGACGGACTTCTCCAAACTTCTCATGAACAAGGACTTCCTTCTTGTCTTCATTCGCTCTCTAGATGAGGATAAGAAGCTCGCCATGAGAGACAGGTATCTACTTTACTGCTATGATTATGTTACTGCGATACTGCTAATACTGATTTGAAAACATTAGTTTCTTAACAATATGATTAGAAATGTAGAGAATAAAAGTATCTAAATTGACCAAATCTGCCACATGTATTTGACTGATTTACTTTATGCCTTCATTTAAATGACATAGTTTTACAGTTCGTTTGATAATAACATGGGCTGCAACCATAGAGAAACGACTTTCAATTTAAGGGACCAATATTTTGCTGGATACACTTATCTAATACATACAATATCCATGTCTTTCTCATAATGAAGGTGTCATCTGTTAAGAGCCAGAAGGGTGTTAACACTGCAAAATAATAAGAGATAAATTCCTTATGACTCCCAAAAAACAGTGTATATTGTTTTGTAGTGAAAAAAGCCTCCATCAAGTGTGACTTCCATTTATACTGCACTTAAAAAGAATTTGATTGTGTAATAGATCTCAAGGAAGGTTGAATATTGCTCTCTTTTTGGAAGTGTCACATTACTCTTTTTATCTTTCCACTCAGGAATAACATCGCTTCCCTTTTGACGGTCTGTATGGTTCTTGAAGGCAAGCTGTCTTATCTGTCCGAGTAAGTTTATATCTTTCTGTGCATACAAAGTTCATTTGTCTTGGAGTTTATGTATTGTGAAAGCATGAATAATGACATTTTGAATTGTATGGTTCCTGATGGAATTTTTACTGGTCTTGTCACAATGTACTACAGGTAGAGAATCTAGGAAAGAAGTTCATAACTGTCAGCATTTCTTCAGGTTTTGATCTTACCACCACCCCCCCCCCCCCCAAAAAAAAAAAAAAAAAAAAAAAAAAATGTATATTGATGAGGTGATGCATAACATTTTCCACAATGCCTTGAGATAAGACATCTGTGTTTAGTCCAGGAGAATGTTCTCTGTTGATGTGTGTATGTATTCAAACTTTTTACTACCTCACAGCAACAGAAACAATAATAACAACAACAACATCAATGTAAAAAGCTTTATGAAGAGAGAATCTTTATTAATAAATACAAATGTCAGAATACAGCATGAACATTACTTGGTCATATGCTCGTGAGTGTGATCCATCCATTTTATATCTTTCTTTCTTTCTCTTTTTTTCTCCCTAGTGTGATGCTAACCATGATGTCAGAGCAGATCACTAATGCTGCTGATGTGGACAGATACAGACAGCTCTTCAGAAAGTAAGGATATGGCATTATATAGTAAATAATATGATAATTGTATGGGGAATGAGAACAAAAGAGTGGGGAGAAGAGAGTTGGATTTGAGAATATTAAAGTCAATGGGTGGGAGAGATAAATACTTGCTCGATGGTGATTGAGGGGGCAGGAAGTCAATGCTTAAAGGCAATTTCAGAGTTGATGCACAATGGCTCAGTGGTAAGAGCAGTGGTGACTTAATCGGCAGATCCCTGGTTCAAAACCAAGTCAATGCGCTAGTGCCCTTTGTTTGTTAAGGTATCAATCTTCATTACCAAGTCCCTCGGAGAGGACTGTAGCCATTGGTTTCCTCCTGGTAGCTTGCTTACAAGCGAACACATACTTTCTTAGCAGTCTGGTAAAAAAAAAGAAGCATCAAACCTATCATTCCAAATAAATTTGAAGAAATTTCCAGAAGAAAAGATTGGAAGGAGGGGAAAGAGGTAAGTGAAAAAGGAAGACGATTGCTCAATTAAGAACTTTTTTTTTCTCCTGGTAATATGAAACAATCAGCTAATATCATTGTTTGTGTATGTATTTACTTCACAGTGTTGAAAGCATTGTTGAGAAGATTCTGGCCAACTGGATGGCTCTCTGTATGTACAAATATATACAGGTAAGTTTGCATTGTTTTTACCCTATTAGAAATAGTGGTTAATGGAAGCTCATTTATTCAATATATTAATACATATACAATTTTAGTTTTTCTTTCTCCATGCTTTCTTTGATGCAAGACCATATTACATGCCTTTCGGTCATTACATCTATTTAAGAAAACCCTCATTAACATGTGAAAGTTTATCAGTTAATGAACTGTTTATCATACAAAATATTAATTTACCTGATGCTTCTTCTACCCTTTCCTGTCCCTTTTTATCCTACTTTCTGTCTCATCACCTTATATATCTTCCTTACCATCCTTCACTTCCTCAATATTACACTAACATGACTAGTATTTGCTATGCTTTTCTTTTCGTATAGAAACATGTTGCCTATCCTCTGTACATGCTGTATCAAGCCATCAAGTTCCAAGTGGAGAAGGGACCCATTGATATCATCACGGGCCACGCCCACTTCTCACTCAACTACGAGTACCTCTTGGATGAGGATGTAACCTTTGCTGAAGTGGTAAATATCTGCATTTTATTGTTTGTTGGTTTGTTTATTTATTTATTAAAGATGTTCATGCGTGGGTATATAGTCGTTCCTAAAGTAGGCAACTTGGTAATCACTACATAATACTGAGCAAACAGGTATTACACTCCTGTGCGTACGTCTGTGTGCTGCCCTCTTGAGCAAATTTAACAATCAAAACCTTTTGATAATAGTTGTGGTTCTCTCCTTAAACATGATGGTTAGGAAGATTGCTAGATGATCAGTTTAGTCATGTTCCTCTCCCAATAGTACCAGTTTTCCTTTCTGATGTCTGTACAAATTTCATTCAAACATTTGTTCACAGGAAGGATTGAAGGGGGCTTTATGTCAAAGGAAGGGGTGGGAGGGAGACTGGTGCAGTAACTCCAGTGTGAAATAGCTTTGGACCGTTTGGTTGAAATATATTTCTAGAAAAGATAATTTGAAGCAGTTGCATTTGTGCAGTAATATCAGTTTCCATAAAGGTGTTAATTAATAGGATAAGTTCTACAGAATCTCTCCACCCCCTCCCCTAACAAGAATAAAAGGTAGTGTGAGAGTACAAAAAATATATAACTTACAAAGTGTATACATTATGAATGCATTATGAGTGTGAACGTAGATATGTTACCAGTTTGTTAATGATTTTGTTCTTTTCCATATGAACAGGGTCTTGAGGTTGAGAATCAAGTACAGAAGGGAGAGACCAGCACGGTGAAGGTCCTGGACGTAGATACTATCACACAGGTTAAGGAGAAAGTCCTGGATGCTGTGTTCCTTAACAAGCCTCAGTCAGAGAGGAAAATTGCAGCCGAAGTGGATCTAGGTAAATACATTATGATAATAATAACCTGAACTTTTAAGTGGCTTTATGTTACTTTTATCATGCAGTCATGAAGCAATCTAGCTACCTCCTGTGTAGGCCATAAACGTGTGCCAGTGGCGTCACCCAAAGCATTCTTAACTTCATAATTGCAGTGCGTTTTGGTATATGGGGGACGTCTTACCAGGATTTGTTGACAATCTGTTACTGTGTAGATGCCTCCAATTTTTTTGTTAGTGGGGGCCAAATTAGTAATTTTAAAGAATTGATCAGAAGTTATGTATTTTTCATGTAATTTTAATTTGTAAAGTTTAACTTAATATGTAAAACTCATTTGTACTGAAGCTGCCTTTTAAGTGGCTGTCTATGTACTTCATTTGTGCTATTATAAATAGTCAACATTTTGAAGGTGTCTGTTAAATCAGGTAGTATTACATCATAGGTGCAAAATCAAGGTCTTTCTTAATATTATTACAAACCTTGCTAAAAAATCACCCTCGCCTTACATATTTTCAGCGGTGTATAAGGTTGATGACTGTGATCCTTATTTTGCTTCTTGTGATGATTGTGATTTCAATTGAAACTTTTCTGTTCCAGAATTACAAGAGCATGCATTCATATTAACACTATCAACAATGCAGGTTCCATTTGTAGTTGTAAGACATGATTTACATTGATTTTTATGGCTTTGTTCTACACATCTCTTTGATTTGCAGTGTTGAGGAGTGGCAAACTTGGCCAGCTAGTATTAAGAGATACCGACAACACAACAGAGAAGCCAGATGTCCCTAGATGGGCTAAAGTCAATACGATTCAACATTACAGGGTAAGAATCCAGAATTATACTGTTGTCTGCTTTTAACTCTTCTAACTTCAGTGTATAGAGATTCCTATTATATATATATATTTTTTTAATCCCCAAGAATCCTACGTTCAGGTGCATTAAATTTACGCATTTAAGCATCAATGCTGAAGTGGAAATATATAGCAGAGATGAACATTGTGTGATACAAGAGCAGTGGAGATTTTTATTTATATTTCCTATCAACAGCTCTCTAAAGCTCAGTCAAGGCTCTGCTATTTCTAATATCGCTTTCAGATGAGTTATAAATTGTTGTTTCATGATTGTTTCAGATAACTGATGGTGCTGTAGTAGGTCTAGTTTACAAGCAGGACAATCCTAATGCAAGTCTTGCTACTCCCCTGGATGAGGAAACAGAATTACTGGCTCCGAGTCGTAAGTTTCAATTTCAATTTCTCATGTGTAATTGTAAACACAACAGTTGTAAGATACAAATGTGATTGGGATGATTTCATTTTTTCTCTCCATTTTGATGATGAATTGAGAAATTGAACAAAATCAAAACTTTACTGTGGAATGTCTCACCATGTGTGACAATGTTAGACTAGAACATTTTCCTTCAGTTTGGGAATATATGGTTTTACTAAGATTCATAATCATGAAAAATACTGCGAGACTCATAGATCAAAGATTCATGAAATTTTTGCTACAGATTATGTACTGAATATCAGCTTTAACAGAGACTATGCTTTCAGGTTTAAATAAACAACTGTGTCTAACATATTCATTCAATGTGTGCTTGAAAGTTTGTTGTTAATTGTCATAGATTACCCATCTTCAAATGTTATTTACCTGTGCAGTGTTAAGAAACGAGCGTAATTCTTGCAACTTGCCCAATATTTGCCACTCAACCTGTATGTGTTTCATCTCTTTTCAGCTGCAGCCAGTCCAAAGCGGTTCCCTGTAGCTCTGCAGAGGTTCAACACCAATGTAGAGAGTGATCTAGAAGAAGGGTTTCAATTCTATCATATAGTAAGACAAACAAACATGTTTCTATGCCCCACCCCTCCTGTATATTGCTATCAAGCTCTGGTACTTTTTTGTTATTATTATACACTATGATCAATCAAGAAACTGAGCTCTTTTCCTTAAAAAATGTAACCTCTATTAAGGATGATTAAGCTACTTCATAATGAAAATATTGTATGTGAAATTGTATTTGTGTTTTGTTGATAGAAAGTTTTAAGTTGCCCCAAAAACTTGATATTCAAAATATTTCTAACTTGCCATATTTACTTGTTTTTCTATCTCTGTAATGGTTTAAGATTTCACTAATCTTTATCTTGGGTTTCTGAACATTTCAGTCCAACCTGTACGAAGACGATGCAACGAAAAAGACGATTGGTCGCAGAGGCAGATCATCTAGCAGCACAAGAATCAAACATAGGAAGATTAGAGAGATCTATCTTAGGAGATTAGTCTCCACAAAGGTGGGTTGTGTTCCTCTACAGAGTGGTCGCATACAAAGAAAAATAATGGATGTATTTTTTTTCTTCATGTGGCTTAGCATTCAAGATGCAAGTGGTATTGATATGAAGCCATTTTCAAAAGAATGGAACAATCTGAATGAAGATGTTGGAGAACAAACACTTGGAGAAATCCAAATGCATTGTTATGGGGATATTGTTGAACAAAGACTCGGTCTTGACACATTTAAGAGATTTGTTGTCTCTGCGTTCACGCTGATTGGGGTAAGATGTGTACACATGTGAAGACTTCTATTAAAAAATCTTTATGCGAGTGGTTTTCAAAACTGCATTACACACTTGTAATTGCGAAACTGTAATTTTGCTGTTAGTTACATTATATCCAAGGCCTACCTTGCTTTCATACATATCAGAGCTGTGAAAGAGTTGGTCCATACCTCTTTATCACAGCATCTTCTCTGTAAAAGTACATAATATTAACAAAGTTTGTTTAAGACTAATGCAGTTATGGGGTAATAATAATAATCTGGATTTATATAGCACTTAATACGGAATACCGCCTCTTAGCGCTTTACAGAAATTATTACGTGCTGAAAGATAAGTAATAGAGCACTGAAGTGTGCTTACTTACCATAATGCTTTTTATCATCATGAATGTTTTTACATTTGATTAAGAGTGACATGTGATGTCGACGTATCATTGTTTTTAAACCAACAGAAATCCATCCAAACGTTTGTAGACGAGGCCTTGCAGGTGATGTTATCAGTTTCTGATGAGAGACCCCTCCCCAAGTCCCTCAAGTACCTGTTTGACTTCCTAGATCGACAGGCAAGCAGACATAACCTGAAATCAGACACTGCTGAGCTCTGGAAGACTAGCTGGTAAGTAGGAATACTCAGTAGGGGATGGAGATGGTGCACTGTTGTGCGCAGGCTTGAAATCCAGTAACTAGGAGTGATAATGATAATATTGTAAAGTGCATTGGAAGTATTCATGTAATAGACCATATAACAATGATATTAATAAATATATTAGATTTATATAGCGCCATTATCCATTCTATTTAAATGCTCAAGGTGCTTCAAAATATTAGGGAACACATTACACCATGACAAAGGAGTTGTGTACATTTACATAACAAAGAAAGAAAAAAAAATACAAAAAAATACAAAAATACAAAAATGAATGTGAAATATGTTATTGTAGATGATACAAAATAATATGTAGGCAAGTCTGTCAGTCTTAGATTATGAGGAAATCAGATGATATTTGTAGACACTACCTTCAATCTTTTCTATGTTTTGCTTGAAGTCTAAGGTCTGATTGGTAAAGAATGTAAATGCCAATCTCAGTATTTACTCTTGATAATTGACCATCCATCCTTAAACAAAAAGTAGTAGAGGTGTTGTGGTCTAGTGGATACATGTTGGACTGTGGAGCACATGGTTCGCGGTTCAAGTCCTACCCGCGGCACTAATATCCTTTGGCAAGACATCAATTTGGATTTGCCCCTCTCCACCCAGGTGTTAAATAGGTAACAGTAGGAAGGAATCCTTCGAATAACTGTGAGCACCAAAATCGGTAGCCTAGCAGAGCTTGGTAATATTGGAGCTCCTTGAGCACCTTGCTGTTTCCAGATCCATCTAGAGGGTGTTTTTCTCTTGAATAATTATCCATCACTGTTTTGCGTCTTTCTAATGAATTCCAGATTGTTCCCTTTAATGCATGACAACAATCTAGCTAGAAAATTGTTATTGAAATTGATCCTCAATTTATCATTCTTCCCCCCCCCCCCTTCCCCTTCCCCTTCCCTCCCCCTTCCCCTCTTCTCTTCTCCAGTCTTCCGTTGAGATTCTGGGTGACAGTCCTGAACCATCCATCGTACGTGTTTGACATGAGCCAAACCAGGACTGTCGATGCCTGTCTCAATGTACTCACCCAGATGCTGGACAATGCCTGCAAGGGAATCGTACCCAAGTACAACTTTGTAAGTACCATATACCATCCATTTTGATAACGAAATTATATGAAGTTCATAAAACTTGTTCTTCTCATTTTGTTTCCCTACGCCTTTTTCTTGTACTTTCGCGTGTAATGTAACTATTTTCAGTCATATTTTATTTTTAATCTCTCTAATCAATAATGATGATAGATGATGATGATGATGGGGATAACAGTGGTTACAGCAATGATGATGCTCATGATGATGATGATGTATATTACGGGAGTACAAAGAATGCAGGTACATGTATATATCAGGAAATAGTGGACTACAGCTTTAAGTCCTATCTCAGAGACTCAATAAATATATCCCTAACAGAAGTGCCTATTCAAACCCTCTTTATAACAAGACCACTGCTGTCATACTGAGCCATCATGACTACGACCATAACACTTCCTTTTCTTTTTTTCTTTTTTTCTCTCGTATCCCCCTCTCTTCTCTTCCTCTCTTCTCTTTGTTTGCTATTGAACCATGTAGGAGACATCCCCTAGCCGTGTGCTGTATGCCAGTGAACTGCCAGGCTACATCGACATGATTCCAGAGTTCTACAAGGAGATCAAAGAACAACCCAGAGTCAGGCAAGAGGAGGTGGATGAGGAGTTTGCAGATGTTTGTGAGGTAAGGTGTCTTTTCCTTCGTACATCCTGCAGTAACTCTAAGAAACCGACGGTAGATGATTGGTGTTTGAGGAATGATAATCTCTACATCATGCGAAAGAAGATGATATCGGGGGAGATCTACGATTTATATTCTTAGGTACTCAAACACGGAAATAGTTCAAGGAATTTGAAGATTGACAGTAGGCACAAGAGTAATGGTAAATGTAGTGTGATATTAAAAGAAATCTGCTATTATTGCTTGGTAGCCAGTGCACAAACTATGTTGGTAATTTTTACTTCAGAGGGTGTCTCACAATGTACCATGTTTACATTTCAATCATCTGTATTCTAACTTTGTTTCTTTCTTTTCTTACTATTGCAGACATTCCAAGGAACATTTAGTAAAATTGGCACCCTACACCAACTCTATGAGTATGCTAGCAGAAGGAATGACACGGTAAGTCATTATTTCAGCTTTTCCACACTTTTGTACGTTTAAAAAAACCCACCACATCCGTAAGTTACTAATACCTTAGTCACACTAACGCGACCAACACTAGACTGAACAAAGTGACATTACCGGGTACCTCAAATGGCCAATATTGGTAAGGGTGAAGTTGATGTGGAGTCAGTTTGGCAGTTTGACCAAGGTATCAGTATTTTCTTATTGAACTAGTTGAAGTTGACTTCTGTAAACCCAGATTCTTTTGAAACTTTAATGGCTGCTGTTTAAGTGACAAGAAACATTCTTGATTTACTAATATTGGTACAAATTTAGAAGTTTTTGTTATTGCAAAATTTTGAGGCATGATACTTTTATAAATCAGAACCATACGCAGTAACAAAGACAGTGGTAGTGCCAATTCTTTCTTTTTTCCTCATGAAGTGTCTGATTAGTTTTACATCTTCTAAGAAGTTTCTAAACGTTAATTTTTTTCTCACAAAGCCCCAATAAATTGTCTTTGTTTGATGCTTGCAGCTGATAGATGCTTTGGAAGAGGATGAGCAATGCCAGAGAGCCAACATGGGATACAAGCTGGAGCAGATTGGACAGATGTTAGCCCAGGGTCAAGACTAGATGAACAGAGCTTACCCCCAGGGCCACCCCAGGGCCACCCCTAGAAGGGTCAAGAGCAGATCATCCAGAGAGAGCAATACAACTGCCACATTGAGGATTGATTGTGTAATGCTATATGCTGAATTCCAGCACACTGATGGCGAGTGAAGCTGGAGCAAAAAGTAAGATAATGATGTGGTTCCAGGTGAATCGATGTTGCTATCATCACGGAGATGCGTGTCAATACGTGAATCACCAGGATACAACGGATCAGTGTACTACTGCCTTGTGAATTGAAATTGAGAAAACCTTGTTCTTCTGTAAAACCGTTGATAAAAAACAAAATGACTTGCCAATCTTGTTCTTGTGACCAAAAAATGTGTGCAGCATTGTTGTCTTTGATCATCCCAGAAGTTGTGTCATTGTCACCAGGTACCAAACTGTGTCCATGCTTGGTGATAACCCAGAGTGTTTGTAGTAAAATGATGTTGAATTTGTAAGATATTGATGGATGCAGAAATGAGTGGGGCCAGTGTATTGCCACAGTCACAGGCTCTAGACGCTTAGTTAAGTATTTTCTCTGTCGCAAAGAGAATCTAGCTACCCACCTGTATATTGTCTCTATGATTCAGATTCCAAGTACGCATGTATGTCTGGTTACAGTGGCTGAATGTGTATATTGATAAACATGGGCATGTCATGTGACCAGCTGATGATCATGTTGCAGTCACCTGACAAAACAGGCATGTCATGTGACTAGCTGTCTCTCAAATGAACTCAAATATACAGCACAGCTAAAATGGTCATTGTATTATATGTATACTTCTCTGTGGAGAATTCAATTATCGTTACAAGAATGAGTTTTTGTAAAATAATGTGTTTTGTGTAAATGATCCACCGTGAAAGTTTTAATATAGTTAGTGTCAGCGTTTTTTTGTGCCTAAGATTTCAGAGTTGGGTATGGTGAAAGAGAATTTCAAAGTGTGGAAGAATTGTGATTTTGACTAATACGAATGAACCATAAATTATGAATATTCAATGAGCTAGCCATGTGATATGTATATTTAGCAGGTAGTTATCTTATTCTATACAGTAGTATACATTCGCAGGATATAAATGTCTCCTAAAGTACATCTTGTAGTTTTAAGGTGTCATGATGGCCTTTGCTCTGTAGACATTCAGATTTCTTTCTTCTTTCTGCCAGGTCTTATTTACTTTCAAAAACTTTTCATCACTTTCAAAGCAAAATCATATGTACTTTTATGCATCGGCGATATCGGATATGTAACATGTTTTTCAGTTCCATTGTCTTTTTACAATATAATTTTTCAGAAATATATAATTTCTTTGACATTTTTTAAATTTCATCAAGTGACATGAACTGAATGGAACGTACTGAGATAATTCATTTTTTTCCTCAAGTGCTTGAAGGTAGTATTTACAAATTGCAGACACTCTGTATGGTTCAGACCTGTCATTTAGAATCTTTAAAAAAAATTATGCTTTTACAGTAACCATGACAGCAATGTTTTAACATCATAAACTTGCTTTCACCAACTAGTTTCTGGTTATTATTGTGCCCCATAATTGCTATCTGAATTGTGTTGGATAAGAAGTTTACTGTAATTTGTTGATACTACCTGTTATATTGACGCACCTATGATATACACATGTACATTTAACCAAGAGATTTCTTTTCGTCCTTTGCTTCTGTGGGGGATATTTTGATTACTTTAAGAATTCTCAAGTACTTTTAGTCGCGATCATGTTTTTTATTATTTGGTAATAGATTAAAGTAAATTCTGAATGATGTATGCTTTCTATTTATTCTTATTCTTTCATACTTTGCACATTGTAAGTTTCTTTGTAGGGCTAGAATATAAATGAAAGGATATGAATTGTGGATTTCATTTAGTTAGTAATACATAATGTGTTCTGTATTCATCATTGCCAAGGCATGAAACAGAAATCACATTACTTTTTCTGTTGACTTTGTGGAAGTTGAGTGAAATGCACCTTGTATGAAAAAAAATGTGTATAAAAAGGCTATGTACCAAATTTCTTTCAACTCAGTTCTGTGTGTTTATCTTAATCAACTTACTTAACCGTTTAATCCAGTGTTATTAGTTACGCAAGGCATGATTTAGAGAACCAGCCATTGCAATTTGTACTTCAGTACTTAAAATCTTTCACTCATGCACAATTGTATCTTGATATTTTTGCTATGACACTGAATTCGGATATAGTATGCATGTGCATGAAATGAAGATGAACTGCAAAGTGATTATATTTTATCATGTTTGAATTGTTGCTGTCTTGTGTGTTTATTATGTTTTGTGTGTTACAATGCTTTACTCACATTTGATAAATAACTTGCTAGTACTATATCTCTTGCTATTACAATCAGTTGTGTTATGTATGTACAAAATCATTATGTTCCACTGCAATATTTAATTTTGCATGTTTAGTCTATGAATGTAAATGTACATGTAGCTCACGTTTTCTTTACTTCTATTACTATTACTATTTTCTGTTTGTTTTTATCAAAGAAAGTCAAACTATCTCTTTTGAAATAGGATAGTGTTAAAAAGAAATGAAAGAAGTAAGTCTGTTAATATTCTAAAATATCTTTATGATGTAGCTAAATGACCAATGATATGATAGTGTCATTTGTAGTCCAGTTCTTAATCTGTTTTTTGTCGTTAATTGCTATATCTATTTTAATTTTAACCCATTTTTAATGAAAGTCATAATTAAGAGTGGCATTGAAATTAAGTCAATGTAATGTAAGCTTACTTCAAGAAACATGGTCACTGTGGAAGAGAGTTTATATGCTTTAATTACAATGTCAAAAATTGATTTACACAACTACAAAGTTAGACTGTACACCCACCACTGATCACAAAATTATGTTTATCATACAAAATGAAAATGGTTTTATTCAATGAAACTACGGTTATGAAGATTCAAACAATACTCAGTAGATAGGTGTTGATCTGCCACATTATAGCATAGTATTCCCTTCTCTTTTTATGATCTCAAGTTTTAATCTGTTTCATAGGTTGAGGTGTAGTAGTATAGAACTGCCTATAGTGATGGACACTGCACATGTAAGGTTCAAGTGTATTTCACATTCTGACTCGAAAACACTACTTTTATCTTCATGTATGTTTAAAAAACAGTAGACTGTGCTGCCATGTGCATGTATTATGCCAAACAGTGATTGTGGCATTGCTCAGTATTGGATTAAAATATGTGTATTTTCACTTTTCCGTAATTTTGTCTCACAAATCTGCAGGCTCAGTATGTAATTAAATAGATATGCAATGATTGTATCAGCGTCCTACTGTCTCTGAACTGACACACTTGATCGTTCAGTTAACGTCCTACTGTCTCTGAACAGATGATAAAACCAGACATGCTAACAACTATTTCCAACCCTGATGTGCAAAACAGACTGCATCCATGCACCACCAAATCCAGCTTTAGATTATAAGAAATTAGTGAATTTATTTTTATTTTTTGATATGAAGAGTGTTTTTGACGACGGTGTGGCATGGCATAGTATGAATGCAGTCTTCTGCTCAAGCTGGTTCTGAAATGCTTATAATTATGTGGGATAAGGGTTCACTGCAAGTAAACAAGATTGAAGTTTTATTGTCCTGATATTATGATACAGTAATAACAACAAGACAAAACAAAATTAATAATAATAATTGGATTTATATAGCGCCTTTCCAGAAGATACAAGGCGCTGAGTGAGAGGAAAGTATATTACTCCAGAAATGTCAAAAAGACAGGATTTTAGTATCTGTACATTACAAGCCCCCCCCCCCCCCCCATAGCCTTCAGAATATGATGTTCATGACAGATGCTCCTTCCAGCTGTCAAATGGTAATCAAGGAAAGGCCATTGAAGTGGCTATTTTTAGCATAAACATTATGCCCAAACAGTGCACTTCAGTTATGTAAAACTATTTGGAGAAAGGATTCAATTCAAAACAATAATATTCAATCTTGTTTGCATAGATTCATGAATGTAATGTTCATACATTTTGGTAGGAAGATGTATTGTATTTGATGCTATGGTGGGTGACATTGGATTCAGAACTTTCTCTGTGTGTAGTTCAGCAAACCATAAAGCAGTCTTCATTAAAAAATGCTTCAATAATGCTTTATTTTATAAAGATAATTCTCATTACTCATGAACCTTTGAAACAGAAGAAATCTTTCTTTATTCTTTTCATTTTATTTTCTAGTGCTTTTACTGTGCCATGAATTCTTATCATTTTGAAATATGATCATTACATGTTCAATCCATTGTTATTGTGATTGACTTTCATGAGTTCTTGAGTTTATGATGAACAGGAGTGTCCATCAGGCTTTCATATTTCGCTGAGTGGTAAAAACAAGAGCTTCTGATACTTTCACCGTCTTGGTAGTTCATGACAACATGCAAAAAAGTAATGTTTTCCATTAATGTAAGTAATATGCTAATTTATGATAAGAATGTTAATTTCTTTTAATGGTTCCAAGGTGCAAAGATAAGATATGCAGACTACTTGTCATTTTAATTTAAGTGCTATTCTATCTATGGTAGGAATATATATAATCTCTATGCTTTTCCTGGTTAGTACGCCATTGTTGTACTAGAATTATTCTCAAAAAGTACTAATGTTTTCCTATGCTGCCTCTCTAGAATTTCCATACTATTGTTTGGGAGTATACTGTTTGATTTATCTCTTTGTTTTAAAAGTATATTCAGCGTGATCACAAAGACATTCAAGAAATCAGCCCAAGAAAATTAAAACAACCTAGTGCATCCTGTATGTGCAAACATTACAATGACATTATTCAATCATAATTTCTATGGGCAGTACATTAGGGTGCTGAAATTGCCCCTGAATTCATTTCTTGAAAGTTTTTGCAACTATTAGGCGGGAATCAAATGATTTATTGTGATATTTTGTAGATATAGAATAAACTGATGTGTAATGTTCTCCTGCAACCAGAAGCAGTCCCACCGACCAGACCAAAACCAACAAAATTACATAACACCAAATGGCCAAGAAAAGGCTGGTTGAGAGTCGGTTTGGCGGTATGACTGAGGTGTTATGGGACTTATTTCATATTGTTGTTAATGTAAGTGGGAATTCAGATGGTCCTCCCCCGTATCCTTCTTTCCTCCTCCTTTACAATGTTTTCCATTGGTTCTAAAGATACCTTGTATAAATAGAGAAATTATTTGAATTTAAAATGGCTGGACCAATCAGCAGAAAGTGTATGGTAATTGATTGCTTCCACAAGATAATGCAGAATGGTGAATGGTGAAATGTTTTTCTTTTCTTTTTTTAAAGCATCTATTTCGTGCAAGCTTTTGCTGTTGTATTGAATGTCATCACAAATCATGTTTTTGCTATATAAAACAAAATTAAATAAACCACAAAAGTGTTTGTTACATATGGCTGGCTTATCTTTTTGTCGTCATGATTTGCTCTATTACCCAGATCGAATTGTTGAGAGGTGAGAGTGGTTAGACATGTAGTTTGAAAGGTTGAAGTTTTCTCTCTCGCTCTCGCTCTCTCTCTCTCTCTCTCTCTCTCTCTGTCAACATATTAATGGCATATAAACTCCTACATTTGTGTTAGTGATTGATTTTTGACTGCCATAAATATATGAGTATATGATACTAAATTTGCATTTCGCTAAATTCGCTTTTGACAATTAGGATGTCCATGTGTATTGATGAATGCGTGGTAAGTGAGGTGGGAAGGATGGGAGGGAGGCAGGCAGGGGCGAGAGAGGGAGAGAGAAAGATAGTATGCAGAGATAGAGAGACATACAAACAGAATTGGAAACATGATAATAAAGAGAAAACTGAGAAAGAGAGAGAGAGAGAGAGAGAGAAAGAAAAGAAGAGTCAGATTGAAGTAAGCTAGAAAAAGAGGGAGAAAGCAGAAAAATGAGTGAAAGTAACCAAGTGGGGGAGGAGGGGGGAACAATAAAACGGTGGAAACTTGTTACAGAGAGCCCTGATATAATACCTAATGCATGTATAACAAAGTAATTCTGCTGGTCCCAGCTCTTTCTTTTTACTTGTTACTCTAATTATGGCCAGAAACATTTTAACAAGTTATTCTCATGGTCCTCGTTATAACAAGTTTACTGTATCTGACATGAGAGGGAGCTATACAAAAATTACGAACTCTCCCTAATCAATCTCCTTGCATGAAAACACATGAACTTGGCCTAGCCAGCTGTATATTCACGACTAAATTGAATTAATTCAGCACTTTTTTAACAACTAAAATGTCAAGTCAAAGAATGCAATGACAGATTTCTTGAATATATATTAGACGAGACAATTGAATAGATTAAAGAAATCATTAAGTGTTTGGATATCATTAACATTGATAGGTAGATATCCAACGAAACAGGGTCATGTGACACTTTAATATGACATTGAGTTGAACTTGTGTCATGTGCCGCGTCAGGTGACTCGAGATCTGATATAAGCACTTAGACCTAATCAAAATACAAATAAACCGAGCTCATTCAGACCCACTTCGCTTGTAGTGTGCATGATTTGGTCACTGGTCCGTAAAACTAATATCTATTGTGTGATCTGAGGTCACAATTTTACTTACAGTGACACAGCACTAGTGCATTACTCTTATTCACTTATACTCCGGCGGTACATGTACAATCTCAGAATATATCGCGCATCGAACTATATATAATATTGAAATGGAGACTCGTACATGTCTGCTAGTTCTTCTGTCAGTGTTATTTACCTGCTTCATCGCAGCTACAAATGGTGCAGGATGCTATATACCTGGTTCATTCAAAGGAAAGCGTTCTGTCAGGTATGATTGTTTTATAATATAATTATCTTTATATATAAATTATGTTATTGTCGTACCAGGAGCTTCCTGGTCGTACATGTTAGTCTATACACTCTCCACTCTGTTATGATTGTGTATATACTATTCGAGTATTCACTGCATGATCTATATTCAGTCAAGGAAATGGCTGTCGATATTTGAGAAACCATATAATCTAGACCAAAAAAAGATAAACAAAGTACAGAGTATAGCTTCTTGTGCATTGTGTGCACACAATCATGTCGTATATAAATAGAACATGCTGCGTACATTATCGTATGTTATGGTAGTACATGACTCATATACAGCAGTTGCACATCGTACTGTATATAATGACGTCTGCATCTGGCTTTCTACCGGTCTCCCCCCCCCCCCTCTCTCTCTCTCTCTCTCTCTCTCTCTCTTACTTTCTCATTTTTATTTCTGTCTGTCTGTCTGTCTGTCTCTTTCACTCTGCCTCTCTCTGTCTTTATCTCTGTCTCTCTTAGTCTCTCTCTCCCTCTCTCTCTCGTTCTCTCTCTCTCTCTCACTTCCTCCCTTTCTCCCCCATCTTGTACTCAATTATTCTTGTCTTGAAGTTTATCTACATGCATGTATATATTTTCTCTACTAAATGTATCTCTCCCTGTTCGTCTCATACCCTGTCTTTTTTTTTTCAAGTGTCTTCACACCCCTCTTCCCTTCTCTCTACCTCGCTCTCCCCTTACCCACTTTTTTCCCTTCATTTTGTGAATATTTTTATATCATTTATTTTATTATTTCTCCTCTGAAATATATTTGGCATGTATTATATGTCTCTCATGATCATTATCATCACCACCAATTTATCATTGTCATCATCGCCATCATTATCTTCATTATCTTCATAATCATCTCCACCAATTCATCATCATCATCATCATCATCATCATCAGTCGTCGACAGAGAAGTCAAGTTAAAATATAAATATTATTATTATTATCATCATCATCATAATTCACCATTTTTTCCTTCTTTACTTGTCTCCATCTTCATCATCTAAATGTATAGCTCACCATCATCTTCTTTGTCTTGGTTACAGTACCTATGCTCGACCTCACATGAGAGATGGTGTAAAGGTACCGTCCTCTTGGGACTGGCGTAACGTTGGGGGTCGAAGCTTTGTGAGTGCCACAAGGAACCAACATATCCCCACTTATTGTGGCTCATGCTGGGCTATGGGGAGCACTAGTGCATTGGCTGGTATGTATCCCACAATAACCTATGGCATTAATTACATATTAAATTATAAATTAATCCTTTTAACTCGTTTCGTAACATTCTTTTACTTCTAATATGATGAAACCGGCCTAACCCTGAAAACGTTATGGATATCAGTTCAATGCTTTACAGTTATCGAAATATTCACGAGAAGAAAGGCATTTGAATATTAAAAAAGTAGAGATTTTGCTTTAAAAAAAAAAAAAACTTCAGGTGTGCATCTCTTAAAAGTTCACAATTACCGACATCGGACCGATATCGGACTGGTCAATCCAGTCGACCGACATCACACAAGACCAAAGACCTACGAGACCGACATAACAAAGAAATACAGATGAAAATAAAAACTATAACAAGTTCACGAGATACCAACGGGCAATGGCCCAAGAGGCCAACAGCCCAAGACAGTGGCGGATCCAGGATTTTCCAATGGGGAGGGGGGGGGGGGGGGGGGGGGGGGGGACCTGAAATTTGAAAATCGCGCCGACCAATATTTCGCTTCGTGGAGGGGGGGGGGGATAGTGAGCACTGTTTTTTGGGCCAGGGGGAGGGGCAATTTCATTTTTTTTTGTTTAAAAAAGGTGGTAACGGAAATTTTACCTGTTTTTTGCCACCCCCCCCCCCCCCATGGATCCGCCCCTGGACCAAGAGACCAACGGAAAGAGAAAACAATTAAGAGCCCACAAGTAAAATAGAATGAAGCAACAAACTCACCAAGGAAAGGCTGATTATAATATGAAACCTTCCCATTTGAATTTATTGCCATTCCGAGATGTATTTCTGATTTCTCCCGCTTGGTATAATCTCATATATAGATCGTCTGAATATCTTACGTAACGGTAGCTGGCCTTCAGCTTACCTGTCCGTCCAGAACGTGATCGATTGCGGCGGTGCGGGATCGTGTAACGGCGGCGATGACATCGGCGTATACAGCTACGCACACAAGAGCGGTATCCCCGATGAGACGTGCAATAACTACCAGGCGAAGAACCAGAGTAAGTCAAAACATCGTTTTGAATTATCCTATGATTTTGCTTGTAGATCATATTTGAATCTGGAAAACGAGAGATGGGTCATCTCAGAAAATTAAAGAGAGAGGAAGAGATTGTTACCTTCAAGATTTTGTTTAAAGTAAAATTTATACCCGAGCAAGCCTAAAGTTATATTTGTCTCTGTGACACTTCTTAGTTGATATCTCAAGTACTTCACGTTTGTAAAGTTAGGTACTGAAGGGCCTAGTTTCCATATACATATCACTTAATTACAATTATTTGTTGTAGTGAGAACAATTATATTGATAAGTAGATCTTGTCACGTTTACATAATTATGGAGTATGTATGCGTATATCGTAATTTTCTTAATCAATAAAAAATGGTTTCTAAAATATAGGTTTATAACTGATTATTATGTTTTTATAAAAGTGCTTTAACCTTTTGTCCTTTCTCTTTCCCATCCCGTTTGCGTATTCTCAACCACACCCCATCCATCCATTTCCTTCCAATGCCACTCTCTCTTCCTCTCACTCTCTCTCTCTCTCTCTCTCTCTCTCTCTCTCTTTCCTTCTCCCTCTTTCCACTCTCTCTCTCTCTTTCTCTCTCTCTCTCTCTCTTTCCTTCTCCCTCTTTCCCCTCCTCTCTCTCTCTCTCTCTCCCTCGACCTTTCGCGCCACCCTCTTCCTTTCTACCACTCCCTTTCTCCACTTTCTTTTCCCCATCTCTCTCTCTATATAAATTATATCCCTCTTTCTCTTTCTGTCTCTTTCTCTCTTCCTCTACCTCTCCCGTCTCTCTTCAACCCCCGTCTCTCTCTATCCCTTTCTCTTCCGGACCATCTTCCTCTCTGTCTCACCCTCTCCCCTCCCTCCACCCCCCCCCTCTCTCTCTCTCTCTCTCTCTCTGTCTTTCACTCCTCAATCACACCCCAAATCAGACTGTGATAAGATGAACCAATGTGGTACCTGTACACCTGACGGTCAGTGCAGTATGATCGCTAATTATACATCCTACAAGGTAGCAGACTACGGTTCTGTCCGCGGCAGGGAGGCTATGATGAAGGAGATCTATGCCAAAGGACCAATCAGGTTATTTGCATATTGTTATTCATTTCGATGATTTTCGTTTAAAGTGAAATGCATAAAGGCACAAATTTTTCAAATCCAGATTGTATTATGAAAAAACAAATCCAACAACCGCACTGAGGCTAGCATATACACGTAAGAATTAAGATTATTAATTCGTCATAATAATAAATTCGCTTGGTGTTATAAAGGGTTTTATAATATCTCCAGTTACACGTTGTGTCGTTGTATACACAGTATTCGGCCCTATTATATCCGTGCCGTAGATGGCAGAATAGCAGTTAAGGATCTCTATGCAGTATAAAGTGTAATACAATGTGAAAGAAGAGATATGTAAAATGATTATTGCGTGTAAAATCGAGATTCAACAGAGCCATACACCAAGCGAAATCCCGATATCGATTACAGATGTGATTAAATAAAATGTCTAAAAACATAAAAACTCCTTTTTTTCTACTGTCAGTTGTGGGATTGATGCAACAAGTAAACTTGAGGCATACACTGGTGGAATCTACGAAGAGTTCAAGATAGTAGCAATAGTAAGCCCAACTTCATTTTCAGAATCCGTTTCAAATTATGATAATGGCATAATATTTGAGTCTGTAATCAATGATAACTACTCTCTTTTGGAGACCTCAAACGCACCAGGAAAGTGGGATAACCTTTTCTGCTTCTTCCTTCTTCTTCTTCTTCTTCTTCTTCTTCTTCTTCTTCTTCTTCTTCTTCTTTTCATCTTCTTTTCTATTTCTTCTCCTCCTCGTCCCTGTTTATTTTTCTTCCTTTTTGCTTCTCAAATAATATTTTTGAAACTATATATGTCCCGACTTTATAATTAATCTAGCGCCATCTCATTTATAACTTTCTCAATACAAACATGTCTGATTTTAGTCATTTGTTACGACCTTCACAGTAGCTTCCTGCGTTAGGTAGCATGTCTTAATCTATAATAAATGAAGGACATGCATCTCTGTTATTTTGATTAAAATCGAAAGTTATATTTACCTGTGATCTCTCTTTTGCGATTTTTAGTCGAACCACATAATCTCCGTAGCTGGTTGGGGAGTTGATAACTCAACAGGGACTGAATACTGGATTGTGAGGAACTCGTGGGGAGAACCCTGGGTAAGCTTGAGATTATTTCTTGCCTTGTCAACCTCATCTTTATCTTTTTTTACTGACGTTTTTTCTACACGATTTTGTTGCTCGGTAACTTTCATATTAGTACGTCATTCAATTCTGGGCGCTATATTTCCTTCAACTGCCTTCTTTATTATCGACATCTACTTTGGTATAAGAATAGTTTAATGCATATTTTGCATACAAGATTATTTGTATCTATAATAATTATAGATACAAATAATCTTGTATGCAGGAATAATCTTGTAAGGAGGAATAAACCATTCTTGTATATATTTTTCTGTGGAAATAGAGAATATTTTACAATTTGTAAAATATTCTCTATTTTCCACAGAAAAATATATACAAGAATGGTTTATTCCTCCTTACATTGGTTTACCTCAATGTTTTTAATGCTTTTGCTGTTATTTCTGTACTCACATTTGTTTTTCTTTCTTTTATCGATTTTCACTCACCACTGACACTTAGGGAGAGCAAGGTTGGTTCCGTATCGTAACTAGCCGATACAAAGACGGTGAGGGGAACTGGTACAACCTCGCTATCGAAGGCGAGTGCCGCTACGGAGACCCAATCGTACCATGATCATCGACCACCACTCACTTCCATCCCGATGACGATTATTGACACGAAGAGGAATCACTATGACGCGTTCACAGGCTCAAATTAATATGCAAACCCAACACTATAGAATTCAAATCGATTTGGCCTTTTTTTTAAAGGGGGGGGGGGCAGAATATACTTAAAGATACTTGAGTATAGTTTCAAGAGCATTGATAACTTCTTTGGATTATGGCTTATAAGCGCCGACGATTACTATGGACAGTAAAATGTTAATCCTATTGCTAAAAGACTATTGCACCCACACAGGCATATCGAAATTCTAATAAAGTACAACTCCAGGGGGTGTTTCACAAAATCCTTAGACGAACTTAACTCTAAGTTGGACTTAAACAATTTGGAGAGCCATTTGTAGCCTTAAAATAAAATATATCCAAAAGCAAAAAAATCAAGTATTTTAGACTTTTCATAAATTCCACATCAAGCACATGAAATTTCTTGATAGTAATGATTTGGATCAACATTTAATACCTTTTAAAATAACTTTTACAAAATATTTTCAAAGATGCTAATGGCTTTCCATAATTGTCAAGTCCAACTTAGAGATAAGTTCAACTTTGTGAAACACCCCCCAGGTGGGTAAAACAATTTCAGGTTGCTTCTTTGCCTAAATATGTTCCTAACTTGTCTAAAAATTCTTGCGCGCACGTTTGTAAATGTTTATGTCGTCATCACCAACTATATACTGAAGCAAAAAAGAAAGAAAATATGAGTGACTGAAGAAACAGACGAATATAGCCGTGTTCTCCGCAAGTAAATTTAGTTCATCTTTGGTGTGTGCATAATTTTGATCTCGTCGTTTCCGCTAAATATTGGTTTCTATATTATGATGAGGTGATCAATCCATTTCACTTTTTGAGGGCCCCATTAACTTTAAATAGTTGACAAGTTTCTTTTATAGAATCATATGAAATAAAGGGCAATCAGGTTATTGTATATATTGTGATGAATTCCTGTGCCATTGGAGGAGATGAATTGCCACATTCCTCTCCCTCCCCCTCCTCCTCTTCCCCCCTCTCTTCTCTTAATCTCTCTTTCTTTCTCTCTCTCTCTCTCTCACACACTTTCTGTCCGTCTGTCTCTCTCCCTCTTTGTATTTTTTCGCTCTTTGTATGTGTTTCTCTTTCAACCATATAACGTTGGTATTATATCACTCCTCTTTACGCCATTTCTTTTCTCTCTCTCTCTCTCTCTCTCTCTCTCTCTCTCTCTCTCTCTCTCTCTCGTGTTCTCTCTGTATAATCATACTATCTTTCCATCGTATCTTCCGAATTTTCTACAAATTTTACGTAGATTTGTAAAACATTTTTATACGAAAATAAAGTTTTAATGACACGATGTTGAAATAAATCAATACATTTCGGACGACTAAAATGGTTCTGTGCGTTTTTATTTACAATGCCTCTCTTTTTCGTTAACATTAAGAGGAGAGGAAAATGACAGAGGGGCATCATGTAAGTTTTTCAAAATCATATTTCATGCTTTCATAATTATTTAGGCATTTAACCCACATCTGATATGATATCAAATTTAACATCATGCTTTTCTGGTGTGATTGCGGAAGTGTTAATTTACCCATACAGTTACTACATGTATGATATTATCCCATATTAGTTCATAAAATGGGGGAAATAACATTCCTATTAGTAATGTCAATATGCCAATTATACTTGTGTACTACCGTGTGGTTTTGTGTGTTAAACAATCGACGAAATCTAAACTACAAAATGTCATCATAACTATACAGCATTAATTGAAGGACGACGCTCATGTAAATATAATTATGTACATTTATGCAATCATGCATTTACTCTCATAGTATGATGTGTCATCGAAACTTTAAAAAGAATCGAATTATTGTTTTGTTTCGTTTCCTTTTGATGAATAAAATATTGCATTGTTCAAGGACTTTATGAAAGTAAAATTTAGGAAACGTTTTTTAGTATATTACTTTCTGCATGGACGTGTGGTGTAGATAATGGCTTAAGAGCATGACATAAATCAAATTAGGTGAATGAATGAATGCTTGAAGGAAATTATAATTGGCCAATATGCCAGATTCCCCCTCCCCCATTTTCCGATTAATTTGGGCTCCTATACAACCAAATGAATCTAAAATCATTTTAATTGATCACACCATCTGTTTATCTATGTTTAATTAACATTTATATCGATCGTGAGAATAATAAAAACAGCAACCATTTTTATCTACGAGGAATCTTATTTTTTCAATAAAAATAAGAGGAATTGCATGTTTTCCTCATATTTATAATTATGTCCTCATACATTTCATATCTTACCTAAATAGATACGTTCTGCTTATTCTGTATTGGTTTTCAGTTCTTTTTTGCAAACGTTGAATTTCCTTCCTCATTAATTTTGCAGTTTAATTAAAATTTAAGTCGATCGTGAGAATAATGAAAACAGCAACCATTTTTATCTACGAGGAATCGTATGTTTTCAATAACAATAGGAGGTATTGCATGTTTTCCTCATATTTATAAGATTATATGTCCTCATACATTTCATTTCTTACCTAAATAGATACGTTCTGCTGGTTTTCAGTTCTTTTTTGCAAACGTTGAATTTCCTTCCTCATTAATTTTGCAGTTTAATTAAAATCTAAGTCGATCGTGAGAATAATAAAAACAGCAACCATTTTTATCTACGAGGAATCGTATTTTTTCAATTACAATAAGAGGTATTGCATGTTTTCCTCATATTTATAAGGTAATGTGTCCTCATACTTTCATGTTTACCTAAATAGATACGTTTTGCTTATTCTGTATTGGTTTTCAGTTCTTTTTTGCAATCGTTGAATTTCCTTCCTCATTAATTTTGCAGTTTAATTAAAATCTAAGTCGATCGTGAGAATAATAAAAACAGCAACCATTTTTATCTACGAGGAATCGTATTTTTTCAATAACAAAAAGAGGAATTGCATGTTTTCCTCATATTTATAAGGTTATATGTCCTCATACATTTCACTTCTTACCTAAATAGATACGTTCTGCTTATTCTGTATTTGTTGAATTTCCTTCCTCGTTAATTTTGCAGATGGTTCGACATTTGCAATATCTGGTTTGTTTAATCTTCTCAAACTCCTTCCTCAGATAAATAGTGTAAGTGGTACAATGATTAGATTGGTATGAGTATGATTATTAAAAAGAAATATAAATTTTCAGGAAACGTTATCAAGTACCGACGATTGTGATTGAATCGCTGCCAAGCGAATATCAGGTCAAAACTGAACAGAAAACTATTTATAGAAATTAAATTAAGGAAGTGTACGCACGTACAAACCTAACTTTAGGGATTGACCTTCATTCTCAAATATTTTGTTCAAATGAAGCTCTTGGGATGAAGGGGATGATTTAAAGTAGTTCTCATATAGAGAGGAGATAATTATACAATTGTTCGGCATTGGCAATATGTGGTTTGTTGAATCTCTCCAAACTCCTTCCTCAAATAAATCGTGTAAGTGGTACATTGATTAGATTGGTATGGTTATTAAAAAAGTCAATGTAAATGTTCCGGAAACATTATCAAACATTAAAAATAGTTAAGAAAAGGCGGATAGGTTGCATCGTTGCCAGCGAATCAGGTCAAAACGGAACAGAAAACTGTTTATAGAATTTTAATTAGGGAAAGATACGCACACATAGGCCTGACTTTAGTGACCGACCTTCATTCTCCAATATTCCGTTCAATGAAGTTCTTGAGATGAAGCGGATGATTAAAAGTAGTTTGCCATATAAAGAGGAGATATACAATAATGTTCTGCATATGCAATATGTGGTTTGTTAAATCTTTCCAAACTTCTTCCTCACATGGTATAATGATTAGATTGGTATAGTTATTAAAATAAAATGTTAATGCTTAGGAAACGTTATCAAATATTAACAAATAGTTATGAAAAGGCGGATAGGTTGAATCGTTGCCAAGCGAATCAGGTCAAAACGGAACAGAAAACTGTTTATAGAAATTGAATTAGGGAAAGATACGCACGTACAGACCTAACTTTAGTGACTGACCTTCATTCTCCAATATTTTGTTTAATGAAGTTCTAGAGATGAAGCGGATAATTTTTGTAGTTGCCATATAAAAGGAAAGATAAAAATTGACGGCACCCACGTATCTGGTATATATTTGTTAAAAGAGTGGTAAAGTGACATGACTTCAAATACAACTTGAAAAGATAGTAAATGCTGTTTACTAAATATCGGTACACATTCATGGCATTATATGGTTCAGACATTCACATAATCATACATCATAACATATTACAGCATCATGTCATATTTTTACAGAGGACTTTAATAGAGTCTGTAAACAAAATGAAGAGAAAGTTACATGGCTATCACGCAAGTATATATTTATTTGTGGTATACATGTATTACGCGAAGGCAAGAAAACCTTGTTAACAGAGTTGATCGACCTTATGTGCACCATTAAATCAAATTTTCGATTTTACGAGAACAAATTATGGTCACCCTGGTCACAGGGCACCATTTGAATAATGAGTGTGACATAAGTACGCATGATTACGATTTCAAAGCATTAAAGTGAATAGATATAACATTGTTGAAAGTTGATGAAAAAAACGTAATTTTTGTATGAAATGCTAGTTATTATATTCCTTTTACTGTACAAACCCTCAAGCATGCAAAGAATCCTGAAAGAATTCTCAAACCACAAAGATATTTATGGTTTTCTTTGAAGGCGCCACTGTGCAACACCTCTAACAGTAAATTCTCCCAACCATTTTTGAATTTCCCAACCGTTTTTCAATGAAAATTAGACATAAGACATGCTTTAACAAAATCTTTCAACATGGTCGGAATGATATATTGAACCAATTCATTGCTTTGTGACGATTGACATTCACCTAAAATGTAATTAAATTGTAATAATATAGGCTAGTTGGGAGAAATAAGGATTCGATCAGATAAGTTTTTTCCAATCTTTATCATTAACAATGGTCTGTTTTCACTCAAACTTTCAGATTATCTTTAATTGTACATCATTACCTTAGCACCATTTTCTCTCATCTGAATAATGTTACCAAGTCCCTTTAAGATTTAGACTGAAGCCCACAACACCTACGACCCTTGTCCAGCAGTCCAAGCATTGTTGCTTTGCAATCCTTCCTAAAGCGCGTGTTGACAAAACCGTATACGAACGGGTTGACGATGTGATTGATGGTGATCAAGCGACGAACAAAGGCGAAAATCTCGTAGCCGATTTTGTGGTTTGTTTTGAACAGATTCATGGCTTCCTTGGGGATTATGATGGTGATGAACTGTGGAAGAAATGAGACGAAGTACACCACAGTGACGATGAGCAACATCTTCGTCGTGCTGTCCATCGATCCTGAGTTGGATTTCGATCTTGATTTTGTGGTCTTCCTACAGCAGTTGAAGGAGGTTGGCACTTTCTCAGAAGAATCGACGCCATCGTTATCCTGTGCATGCTGCTCCCTTGTAGATGAGCTAGGTTTGTCGGTATCGGCTCCACTTTTTGGCTGGGTAACAACGTTCACACTCTCGTCATTCTTGTTTCCCACTACGGCGAGGACTACCCCTTGATGATGGAGACCACTCATTGTCTCCTCACTCTCCTCTTGGTTGGACCGTCCGTCAAAAGATGTATGAACGGTGCCCCGGTCCGAAGACGCAGTTGTAGCTGTGTCCTCTGTCGCTTTAGACACGACGCCACTTGTCTTTCCTGGTCCTCCCTTCATACGGGCTCGAAGACGCATCTGTCTTCTGATGACCAGATAGATGTTAGCATAACAGACAACGACCACGAGAAGACCCCCTAAGAATGTGATTGGGAAGCTTACCCGCAGAACCCACTTGATAGCAGGATCGGACGTGTCCGGGTAACAGATCGTACGATTACCCGGCAGCTCAAGGGTTCGGAATGCAATAGCTATTGGAATCGTCATGATATATCCAATGGGAACGCACAGTGCTGAGATTACTGCAGCGTATTTCGGCGGGATGCGTTTCGACATCGGCTTGCAGACGGCAAGGTATCGTTCGATAGCCACGGCGATAGTGAGAAACCGCGAAACGTATATCAATCCGTGGTTGGTGTAGTAACGAAACTTGCAGAAGGAATTGCTGGGATAGTCGTAGTAGACGATGTAGTTGTAGATGACGACTGGGCTCATGAGACAGACGCCGAGATCGGCCAAGGCAAGGGCGATGATGAAGACACCGCTGCTCGTTCGCTGCTGTCGCTTGCAGTATGTTAAGATGATGAGGAGATTGCCGGGAACGCCAACCGCGAACAAGATTACTTGATAACAAATCGAAATACTTTCTGTAGTTGTAAGTGCCATGATGTCCCAAATATGCACAGCATAAGGTTTCAATTAAAATTGATGTTATGAAAACAAAATGAAAAAGCATCAAGTCCACAATGATGTCAAACAATTACATTGCACTCTTAATAGAAAGTTCTGATTTCAAAATGTATCTCATCGGATTGTCTATGAACGAAAATCAGAATGGAAATGAGCCTAGCGGTGAATGTCTGCGTTGATATATTGCCTCATAGATCAGATAGGTTGTGGGAAAGGTGATGCCAAAATCAACCTCACAGTCACGTGACTAAACAGTGCGCTTGAGTCAGTGATTCGTGTCATATTTCCGTATCCTATTTTCATAAACATCTTTTTTTTAAATAATCGTCTTTCCTTTTTCAGCATACCGTTATCATCCCTACACTTTCTATATTTTGCTTTTATACTAGTGGCCAATGATCGTAAAGGTGCAAAAGGCGGGGGGGGGGGGGGGTAACTGCCCCCATCATGATAAAAACAATTGTGAACTATTATCCTAATTTATTTATGATAGCAAGAACGCTATAGAGAGGAGGATGCAGTTCCCCCAATGATAACAACAGAGGGCATAGTTGTAAACTGCACTAATTTATGATGGAAGCATGAATTAAATGAAGGATGCGTCAAACTGAATGAGCTTCTGTGAATTAAATCAGAATGGAAATGTATGAATAAATAGTAAATTGAAAATAATTACGATTGTTTTAGTATCTAATACATGTATATGCAAATGTTTTTGTGTCTAATAAAGTTATGGTTTTCCTGTTCTATATCATCTATATCATCAAGGTAACAGCATTGACATGAACGGCAGAACCAGCGTGGTGGTGGAAAAAAGCCTCTATGATGCAATACTACGCCCCACCCCTTCCTTATAATTATGAACAATGCCCTTTCCTCATCAAGACTGTGTGCCCTGCATTTAATTTATTTTAAATGGTTTACTTCATTAAAAAACATTCGCGGCCCGAGAGCCGAATTGCAGTTTCTTTTACAAGGTATACATCAGTGACAAAGTAAAATTACACGTAAAACATTATGCATGGTAGCATTATGGTAGTAAAATTGGAATTCTTTTGTACATAATAGTTGTGCTTCAAAGACCTTGGCAAATTGCTTGGTACGTATACAGAAATTCGAATTGTATTACCATATTTGCAATAAAATTATATATTAATCTTATACAATATAATTATGAATAGCAATACATTTTTGATATTCAAAAGAATTAAATGTTTTGGTTGGAAAATGCATAGCCAGATGGGTAAGGTATGGTTATGGTGTTTTCTTCAATAACAGAAACAGAGACAACAACAGAAACCAAATCCAGGAATTATAAAGTCAAATAAATGCTCCAATGATTTAAACAGATTATACAAATTATACATTGTAGGTAAAATGCAGAACATTTTGTATTTGGGCCAATTTAGTAAAAGGTACATGTAGAATATTGCATAAAAATAAGATAAGTTTCGCATAAAAACATGGGTAAAAGGTTGCCATTGTAATATTCGATATAATGTGTATCATCTTGGGAATCGTTAAAAAGGCAAACAGGATTTTGTACAATTAAATCTGATTTAGTTTTAAAAAAAGTAAAATTCTATAACATTATTCAAAAATGCATTCACATGTCATCCTTTTATTTAGGAAGTTATATCAGAGAAATAGAGAGAGAGATAGAGAAAGAGAGAAAGAAGGAGAGTGAGAAAAGGGAGAGAGAGAGAGAGTGTGAGGGTGGGAGAGAGATAGGGAGAGAAAGAGAGATAGAATGAGAGAGAGGAGAGAGAGAGAGAGAGAGAGAGAGAGAGAGAGAGAGAGAGAGGAGAGAGAGAGAGAGGGAGAAAGATAGGGAGGGGAGACACAGAGTGAGAGTAACAAGACAGGGAGCTAGAGAACAAAGAAGCCATGAAGAGGGTCTCCCCGCTCCGCAGCACAGCACTGACAGAGAGGAGAAAATAGGGATATTGAGAGAGTGAAAGTAGTAGAGAACAATGAATGTGTTCGTCGAAGGTGAAACTGGTAATTATTCAGTACTATGAGCGTTTAACAATCTGACTAGATATGGCAACGGACTGTTTCTATACCGTGTCGTTTTACATGACATTTCAGGGAGCTTGCTTTTATTTCTCAGATTTCGAGATTGGGAGTCCCCACGTGTTTGGGGCAGCCAATGACTAAACTTTGACCCAGGCTCGAGCAGCTTCTTTGCAAATTTGAGGCACAGACATTCTCTGCGGTCACTCAAAGAGGACACTTTACACAGTTGAAGACGCTCGCTTTTGAATTCTCTCTATTTGTTCATTTTGTTTGGCAGACAAGCCGGAGTTCCAAACGGGCGCACAATATTCCTACACTGGCCTTATGTGTGAACAGTAAATGAGTACTAGATCATCTAAGGACAATCGAAATTTGGTGAGAACTCTCAGCATATGGAGCCTCATGTTTGCCTTCTTAACAATTTCATTGACATGAGAAGTCCATTTTAGATCTTTTTGGATGAAAACCCCTAGTAATTTGACACAATCTACTCGACTAATGTCATGTCCATCAATTTTGATGACAGGCGGTGGGGGTGGTTCACGCATGAAAGTTATTGTCATCACAGAACACTTTTTGTGGTTCAGTTTCATGTTGTTGTCTACAGTCCATTCTTGTAGGTTGCTCACACTTGACTGGATATTCGGTGGCGATGGAGATTTCTTGCATTCTAGCATTGTTAGGTCATCCACATATTTCCAGTGAGACGACGGTGACCTCCGGCATGCCTCGTTGATGATAGCCAGGAAGATAATGGGACCAAGTCTAGTCCCTTGTGGAGCCCCTGCAGAAACTTCCAGCCAATCAGAGAGCGTCGTTCGATATTTCACGCTCTGTTGTCGTTTGGGGAGAAAGTTCGCTATCCATGCTACAGCACTCGGACGGACGTTCATCTGGAGCAGTTTGAGGACAGCTATATTGTGGTCTATCCTGTCGAACGCTTTACTGAAGTCCGTTGTCACCATTGTAGTAATGATTTTGGGCTTGTCAGCGTTGCTGTGAATCATTTGTAGGAGATCAATCAAGTAGTGAGAGGTAGATATAGCCCTCATGTTCCCGAATTATGCTGGGTCTATGGTGTTCTCCATGTCGCTGAAAGTCCACTTAGCAATGAACTTTTCAGCTATCTTGGCAAAATGATCAGTCAAAGATACTGGTCTGAGGTTATCGATAGATGCTTGAGATGTCTTGGGAATGGGAACAACATGCGCTCTCTTCCAACGCTCTGGTACAATGGACTGACTTAAAGATGCGTTTAGAATATCAGTAAGCGGACAGCAAAGTTCATAAGCGAATTTCTTGACAAGTCTGGCCGAAATGCCGTCCGGTCCAGGAGCTTTCCGTTGTTTAATGGCTTTCAACTCGCTATAAACTTCCCATGGTTGAACAAGGGGAAGTGGTTGGTCAGCCGGTAGATATGACGGCAAACTAGAAGGGTCCAATCTAGGAATGGCGTTTGCAATGTTCACGAAGAAGTTGTTGATCTTATTCGCCGCTGCGTCGAAGTCAGTAGGAGAAGTGCCTTCGATGCGAATAAGTGGAGATCTCGTCTGGCCAGTTGTCATGGTCTTTATATGCTTATACCATGACGCCGGGTTGGCATTTTTCAGTTTTGCCACACGGTTTTTGTAGTAGTCTTGTTTTGCATGTTCAATATCACGAATAATTCGATTCCTGAGGCGTCGCCACTCTCCCTTCGCTTCCACAGCAAATGCCCTTTGGCGCTGGTAGATTAACGACTTAATGGAAGCCAAATGCTGCCCCATCTAAATTTGCCAGAAAAGCAAATGGGAAGTTACCGGATAGATGTCCATACTTAATAAGTTATTTTCGATATTCAAGTTTCAAGATTCAAATTTCAAGTTTGAGGTTTGAAGTTCAAGTTTCAAATTTTATTTGTTCCACATTTCACAAAAGATTTAGACATACATAGAAAATATGAATTATATACATATACATGCAGTATGAGCAAGTCTCAACGATACTCACTATGACAAATATAGAATGCGAGGAACCTATTGAAAAGCAATGCTTCTATAATTATAGGTTTCTGGTAAAATAGACATTGTAGATGTAAACAAATCGTAGCATTAGAGAAATACGTAATTTAGAGGGGGAAACTTAAAACACAATGGAATGAGGAAATTTGTATACAAGTGCATTAGCACCAATACAGAGTCACCCGGTTAAAATGCGTAGTCACCCGCAGACGCGGATCCAGGATTTCTTAGGGGGGGGGGGGGGGCCCAAAATTTGAAATTATGCGAGCCAAATATTGGTACGTAATGGTGACCAGCATTGACGTAATGGGGGGGGGGGGTGCAGAGAGGGGTGATTTCCCCCTCCCTCCTCCGCAAAGCGCCGAAGCTTTGACGTTTCATTAAATTATTAGAGAAAGAAGACGATTCGTTGTACCGTTCTCGAAAACAATCCTCGTCTGAATACAGTTTTTTCTCCTCCCGCGCGAAGCGCGGAAGCTTTTACGTTTTATTAAATTATTAGAGAAAGAAGACGATTCGTTGTAGAGTTCTCGACTCTTAAGGCTTCGTCTGAATTCAGTTCCCCCCCCCTCGCGCGCGAAGCAGGCAAGGAGGCAAGGAGGCAAGCAGGCAAGGAGGCAAGGTCCTTTCGGACCTCACCCTTTTCCACACGTTGTTTGTGGGATTAACCGCAAGTGATCCATTTCCCCTCCTTTTCACTCTTTTTTCTTCTTCCTCTTTTCCGGTCCCTTTTAGCTCTCCCTTTTTCCATTTTAGCGGGGGCGGGGGAGGCAAGGGCCCCCACCCCACCCTGATCCACAACTTGTTGGCGGGAAAATTGCAACTGATATCCCCTTCTTTTCTTTTCTTCTTCCTCAATTTTCCTTCCCTTTATCTCCTCTTTTCTTTTTTCTTTCCATTTCTTTTCTTCTGTCTTATTTTTTTAAAGAGGGGGGGGGGAGGCAACAGCCTGGGAGGCGAGGTCTTTTCGCCCCCCTCCCGATCTCCGTCTTCCCCTTTTCTTTTCTTCTTCCTCTTCTCTCTCTCTCCCTTTCTCTACTCTTTCCCTTCTTTTCCTCTCTCTCTCTCTCTCTCTTTCTCTCTCTCTTTTTTTCCTCCTTTTTTTCCTTTTTTTTTTCCTTCTTTTTTTTTTTCCTCCTTTTTTTTCCCTTCCTTTTTTCCCCCCTTTTTTTTCCTTTTTTTTTCCCCTTCCCCCCTTTTTTCCTTTTTTTTTTCTCAGGTGGGGGGGGGGGGGCCCCAGGCCCCCGCCCCCCCCTGGATCCGCCATTGGTCACTCGAGCAATTTAGTTAAAAGCAAGGCACCGTTGAACGAATTATAATTACATGAAGATTCAAGCTGGATAACATTACTAGGAGAAAACCACAAAGGTAAAAGTTTCCCGAGTGAAATAATAATTTTTAATAAAACCGTGTATACATCAGGTCGTCCATGAAAATAGAATGCAAATAAGATTAGATAATACTCTGAAAAACTTACATAGCAACATGCAATTCGTTCATACGCATTCATTAGTTTAGAAACAAAGTAATTTTTGTTAAATACAAGTCATTAATAACCGGAACATGCATCATTAATTAACAATTAAGATTAGCTTTGAAGGAAAAAGGAAAAGGAGGGCATACAAATTATATTAGATATAAGACATTAAAAGATCAGTGGGTGTTCCTCTGATCCTCTCTACCCCGATTCCTCACACGACAAAACTTTGCTTTCGATAACCGATGCTGTCAAACTAGTGGAACATTGTAGGAATTTCAGTTCCTAGAATTTAGTTCACGTTGTATTGCCGGTGTGTGACGGCAAATTTTCAAATAACAAACAACTTCATAATAATATTCCCATCAAAATTGTGAGAAATTTGAGTGTATTATGGACGGTGACCGCGAAGTTTGTCACGTGACTGATGCAGCTTAGCCAATCAGTGAACGCTATTCACGTATTAATAAAGGTCACAACCCCCTCCCCCCCCCCCCCCCCCGCCTTGTACGCCCAGGGTCATAATATGTTAGTAGCATGTTATGGGCAAGCAACATGCGTATTATCCGAACCCAAAATATTACCAGTGTGAATTTTAAAAAGTCAAATTTGAGATTTTTGGTTAAAGTAGTCGATTCGGACTACTCATAGATCATCAATATCACAGAAAGAAAGTTTGACAATTAACGCTTCACCGACTTGTATATGGAAAAACATGGTCACGGCACGCAATATTTTGTAGCACTTTAATCACATGATTCGATTATGTTGCATTATTGTGTACTGTCATTGATGAAATTCTCAAAGGCCTGAGCTATTTGCAAGAGTTGGAGTTCGTTGAATTTCTTAGAAGTCAACAAAATCCCGACCGGTAATCCGCCGAGACTCCCGGCATTGATGGTGATCGAAGGATGCCCCGTCAAGTTCGCGGATTTGGTATTCGTTCTGATGCCTTTTAGAGCAAATGTGATCGTTTCTGTATGAATAAAACATGTATGAATAAAACATGTATGAATAGACGTAATGGAAACAAAACAAAAATTGACGTGGGAATGAAAATCTAATCTTCTATTTTGGAAACATGAGGGAATACAGTAAGAAATAAAAAGTACGACTATACAATTGCGGTTACCACAGTATATTGTGGTCTACAATCTAAACATATTATTGTGTTAATAAACGCCAGCGTGATGGTAATTCTATTTTAATTATCACAGTGAGCCTTTTACAAGCCGTCATTATAACCAATATGCAATGTATATTACAATTTGACTACCATGAAGATGGTTGGAATATGAAAGGAAAAACGAGAACGATTATTTGAAATACACAGTAAACAAAACTAATCCAGCAAATAATTTTTAGTTGTTTGAATGTCGTTGTTGTGTTTTTAATTAAATCTCACCTTTGATTGAGGCACCACGTTCCAACATGGGCGGGGCTGTGAAGGGAACCGTTGGCATGACAACCACGTCACAATCTACCAAGACATCATCAAATTCCTTTTCGAGTTGCCTCTTCAGATTCTGAGCCTTGCCGTACAAATGACAATAATTCTTCTTCAAGAAAGTGCCTTCTATTAGATGGGCCTGTTTGTGGGAAAGGAAAATTTTATAACGAATTGAAATGGATGCGATTACAGTTTACATCGAAAAAGACTAAACTAAGTTCAAACGTCGATTATGCGTGAGCGAGGGAAGGGGAGGGCGGAAAAGAGAAAGAGAGAGAGAAGGAGGGAGAGTTGGATAGATATGAAAGAAAGGGAGGGAGTTGAGAGAAAGAGAAAGAGAGAGAGAAGAGAGAGACAGACAGACGAGGAGAGAGAAGGAGAGGGATCAAGAAAGGGAGTTTGTTGTTCATAATTATTTCTTACTTTATTTATGGGATGAAGGTTCTTAGTATTGTGTTTAAGCCGAGCTCCAACATCCCTCATCATACTAGTAGCATAGTATCCTGTGTGATGCAATCCAACACCTGAAAGAGAGAAATAAATATGACGAAGATCATAATCAGCTGATCATCAGGTAATGTACTTTGACAGTACAGAGGATACAAAATACAATAATACCTTAAAAGTTCTCTACACATTTTGCAGGACAAAATGCGGAATGGTTTCAGTACTGGTACATTGAAACGCTTTACAGATATATATTATTATCCCAATCCTCGGATTCACGCTTGCACACAATGTATGCACATTCTCCACTCCCGGTTGAGCATTCCATTTCTTCATTCCTTTACTCCACAGTAACCATGATAAGTTTTTAAACTTGACTCACCTGCCGTGTTATATGTCATGTCGACTCCACCAATGTCTCCAATAACAGTACCAATGGCTATACCTGTCAGAGAAATATACTAAAATTCAGGTTTTTTGACTAAATAAAATTCTCAAGAATTAACATAGTCGGCAAACTTAGCTAACATAATTATATTTTTGTCCGACGAAGTTGATTTATCCAAAGGACAGATTGCAGTGTTTGACATTGCATCGGGATAATATACAGTGCGTTCCAGAAAAAACGAAACCGAGAATTTTCGATGTTTTATCATAGCTTAATCACATTTATAATTGACAAATGACACATATTTGGAAAGCTTATATCCTCTTCTTTCATTTGATGCAACTCATATAATACATATCTCACGCATGAATGATTTAAATGAATTCGAAGAGAGGAAACCAAAAAGTCATTTGGCGGACGGTATCTGACTTTCAAAGAGAAAATCACATTAATTTTCTAGAAAGTTGAGTTTCTGCCCTTTCATATGACACCTCAATCAGGAAAAATAAGCAAGGAATGACAAAGTTCTGTTTGTTTAAAGTAGTGCTTGCATTTCCATAATTTTATCAAACGAATTCGTTTTCACTGGGTGCCTGCCGTAGCAACAAACATAGTTGACAAAAGACTTAACTCCATTTCGTTGACAATCAGCCGTAGACTAAAGACTTCATGCATGGCTCATTGTCAACGAAACGGAGTTAAGTCTGTTGTCAATTCTGCATTGAAAACGAATTCGTTTGATCAAATTATGGAAATGCAAGCACTATTTTAAACAAACAGAACTTTGTCATTCCTTGCTCATTTTTCCTGATTGAGGTGTCATATGAAAGGGCAGAACCTCAACTTTCTAGAAATGTGATTTTCTCTTTGAAAGTCAGATACCGTCCGCCAAATGACTTTTTTGTTTCCTCTCTTCAAATTCATTTTAATCACTCATGCGTGAAATATGCATCATATAAGTTGCATCAAATGAAAGAAGAGGATCCAAGCTTTCCAAATAATATGTGTCATTTAGTAATTATAAATTCATTTAAGAGATTGTTTAAACAAAGTTGTAATTTGTGAATGGCTCAGTCGAACATACACTACGTGCATGTTCTGTAATATTAACATGACTTATTCACATAACTGCGACTTAATTAACATTTTCCTATTGACATTACTGTTTACTAGGTTAATGATATATGTTTATTTTGCAAACGAGTATTATTTTTGTGATCGTTCTGTATAAATGTTATAAACGATGTAAATATGTTCATTCAGGGCCCCATGAAAGACCACTACTTGTTGGTGAATGGGCTACCCTGTCAAAAGATTAGAAATAAATAAATAATAAAAATAAAATAAAAATAAAACATCCATAATTCTCCGTTTCGTTTTTTCCGGGACGCACTGTAAGTAACTACAACACACCCAGATGCCTTCATAATTGAAGATGCATTATGGAAGGGTAAGTGTACTATACTCTTACATTTTGACAAGAAAGATGAGCTCCCACTTTACTAATATCACTGTTATAAGAGCAAAAGACAAAGTTTTTAGTCAAATAGAATGTACAGTTTCAAGAAGCCTACATTGTGATTTTCAGTGAGTCTTCTGTTACCGTACTTTAAAAAAAAAATTGCTCTTTTTTTTCAAACTGAAAATTGTTTGGAATAAATACCCGGTACTCAACGTGCTCAAAGCCATCTTTGAAAAATCTCACATGATTTTAAGGTAAGGGAAACACTAATTTATGCGTAGCGTACGTAGGCCAAGTCAATAATAGGGCACTCTGGCAGGGCGGATAGGGGTAGAGACACGATCTTACTAGCTCAAAGGTCATCTCTTTGGGGGAGGGTGGAAGGAGATTCTATCATTTCAATTTCACGTTCATTATTTTCTCTTCTTCCCCTATATTTCTATTTCTCTCTAATGATTTTGTTTGCCCCCTGAATCTACGCTACTGATCGGAAGAGAAAGGGGGGGGGGTCTCACTTGATTTGTGTAAAGGAATAGATACTTCTTCAACATGAGCCCCACTTGATGAAGCAAACGTGTCGATTGTTTCTCGAACCAAACGATCAACTTCTGGATCAGATCCTGGACTACCGAAACCTTCCTTCAAAACGGCGATTCGAATTGATTTCGGATCAAGCTCCTCCAACTGAATTGCAAGAAAAACAAGCATAATTATGATTGTCAAGAGAACACTAAATTGATTGCAAGTCCTTACATGAATTACTAACCCCCTCCTTCCCTCTCCCTTTCTTAATCTTCAAATCAATTCATTTGAAGCATAGAACTTCGAATACACCTATGCACTGAAATAGATGGCACCATATTGTCACAGTCACAGAAATTTTGGTGATATTTCATTATTATTGTATCGAAAAAGAAAAAAGAAGGAAATTAATTTGAAGTTAAGTTGGAAGGTATTTTTATATAAAAATATGTTTGAATTGTGGGTAAAGCTATACGAAATCCCTAAAGGAGAAAGTCTGAAATCTTATATGGTTATTTGACCGTGGGTAGAAGAACGTTTATTTATTTGAGAGAGGTTTTTAACGAGATGATTCTAGTTTCTTGGTTATGGCCTTTAAAATCAAAAATAAAATTATACCACGGAGAGATTAAATAGTCCCATCAAATGATATGTAATTTACGTTGATGAAAGTAACATTCAGAGTTATGAAAATATCTCGAGAGATATCACATAGTTCTAGCGTTTTGACAAAAATGCATGCCGCTACAGACAGTCAAGAAATATTTAGCTGCATTGAGCAAATAGTTTACCTGTTGTGAATAAGAGGGCGTTTTCAAATCATTTGGTTGCCTGGCATCGTTCCCGTTATCATACCCGGCGATTACCTATATTGAGAAACAAAGCTGCAGTGAATAATCAAATCTCTTTTTTCCTTCACTTTCATATTTTTACTGCTCTTTACTGCTTATGACGATAGCGATATATAGAATAACAACATATACATAATATACATACATAAACATAAATATAACCAAAAAACTAAGCTCACCTAAAAAGGACGACACTACATAATAAAATCGTGTTTCTCATCTATTATAAAAATTTAAAAAACTCGGGCAAAAAAATAAATGGAAAATCTTGTCCCCTCGTTTATTTTTGTTATCCAATATCTCTCCTCACTCTTGTTCAGTCTCTATAGCGCAACATAATGACACATCAACAACCAAGAAAAAGCTGTTTTACTCGATTCTACAATCTCTGGGGTCCCCCCCCCCCCAACAAAAAATAAAAAAAAATAAATAAAAAAATATAATAATAATAAATTAAAAAAATTAAAAATTAAAAAAAAAGGCCACTTTAAACGTTTTCTCCACCTTTATTCCCAAAGGATGATGGTTGTTTTCCTCAGCCTGAAAGTCCTATATAATTTTTTTGTTACGCCAGGTCCTCCATGCATGACCCACCCTCCCATACATTACCCATCCCCCTCTCCATTGTAAATGCCTGACAGAGTAATGATCTAACCTAAGTTCATTGTATGATAATGCCTTTATGTTTTATTTATTTTTTTTTGGTAACTTTAAGCTCTAAACATGATATACCTCTAGCAGCAGTGCACAGTCTTTAACAGTCCTTGCCATTGGTCCCAAGTGATCAACGACAAACTCCCCGGATAGCGCCCCTGTATACGGTATCAAACCAAAGGTCGCTTTCAACCAACCAATCCACACCAACTAGCTGGTATCCGAACCGATCCGCCTTGATCACCCCCGATTGCCATGTCCACTTCATTTGTTGCCACCTTCAAAGAGAGAGAGAGAGACAGAGAGAGAGAGAGAGAGAGAGACAGAGAGAAAACAATTAAATTGGTCCGAAAACTTATGGGAACTAACCCCATAGGACTATGATGTCCATACATCTTGCTTGTTGATATCATGGATTACGTTTGATTGCGGTGTGAAGCGTTGATAGAGGCGTAGCTGCGGGAAGAGTGAGAGAGAGAGAGAGAGAGGATATATATATATAGAGAAGAGAGAGAGAGAGGAGAGAGAGGGTGGGCGGGGAGTGGATAAGAACAGGAGACGATAGGACCCTTACTCCTTCCTTAACCTGTGGCCCAGTTTTTTTGCACTTAATTTAAAAAGTAAGAACGGTGCCCAATGAACTTAAAAACACACAGATTGGAAGAGAGGTGATGGCGACGTTCTAATGCCAAGCGAATGGTTTGTACTTTAATAGTGTTACCATAGAGGGCAATATTAACCTACCGTATATAATGAACAACAACAAATCATGCCTGACTATTTTGTCCGGAATCGAACCCCCTCCCCCCCCCCCCCCCTCCATTTACGAAATCCTCGATCCGCCCCTGATTATTACACACTCACCAACACTGCACATCCCGAGCTTGACCCGCCAGCGCAGTGACGTGGGTTAAGGGGATTCGTGATTGGTCCTGTTCCACTTGTATAGCTGTTCGCTGAATTACACAATTCTTCGCAAGTCGCTTTCCCAAGAATGATTCCCCTGTTAGAGCAAAGCAAACAATCATGAAAATATAGATATCCTATGCTATAGGAATGTAATAAAGAAATGACTTATCGGAACTGACAGGTGATTCATCGACTAAAATTGCATCTTATATTGTAAAAACGCCAGTGCAAGTTTCCGATCTACCTTAGATCGATTAGTACCATCAGCAAAAGACATCTATACACAGAGTTCGACCAATTTGGTTTCCCTTGGATACAGCATGGCGCATATTCTTCTGTTTTGTGGGTGCTGGCCCAACACGGCAGTTTTCTTTATTATACACCCAACTCAAACCGAGATGACACAACTCTCCCAATCATCATTGGCACTTCCTGCAGCTTACCTTCGTCTAACACCCACGTGACCACGGTTGCATCAAAATCGGGAACGTATCCTTCAAGACCACTGAATCCGATCATCATCGGGATTCCCGCTACAGCAATAGAGTCCTTGATTGCAATACGCTTTCCTGATAAGTTTCCATTGTCTGCTCCTACGATTCTGCATTTGTAGTACCTACAAAACAAAACAATCGAATATTCTCTGGTATCAGAAAAGGAGACGTCTTCTCTCTTTAGGAGTCAGATTAGGGATCATGAATTCCTTTGGCGTTGAATCCACTCAGACCCATAGTGGAATCCACTCCAAATTAAAGTGGAATTCACTCTAAAGTAGCAGTTGTATAACTCGTTTATTGTAATTTTAGCATGGATTTCACTCCTAACGAAGGGATTATAAACATTGAATGTGAAGTGGTATGAAATATAAGTTTTAATTTATAATCACATTTTATGGTTATTTTACTATAAGAAGAGTATCTACATCATTATGAACGAACAGTGCGCCATTTTAATTGACGAGTAAACAAATTCAATGACCTCTAGAGGTCAGTGGTTTGTGCGTAATTAAGATTGCACCCTGATTGCACCCATACAAATTATGATGTGAGCGCACAGCAATTACGCACAAACCACTGACCTCTAGAGGTCATTGGATTTGTTTACTCGTCAATTAAAATGGCGCACACCAACCGTAAACTGGTGTATTGGGCCGGATAAATGTAGAACAAAGGTGAGTTGGGGAGGTGTGTGTGTGGGGGGGGGGTAAAATTTTAAATGGTTGACTTAGCTGGGGCCACAAACTTCACTGTCACCAGGATGGAAAGTACATTTTTTTTAAATCCAGTTCACTTTAAAGGCAAAATAATGACCCCATTTCACTGTGGTATAGACCTCAATTCATTTTTTACCTCTTTTTTGTTTGTTCGTTTATTAACTTAAATATTTTTTAAATCAGACAAATTGCACTGATCATTTAGCCCACTTAAATGATATTTTCATGTTTTTAGTGTCCAAATAATGAATCATTCTCACCTCGACTTCAATGATCTTCATATTGTGCCCCATCCCCATGAAATTTTAATTTTGTCTCGTTCTTTTCATTCTTGCATTCGTCGCCCACTGATTTTTTTTTTTCATTTACCACCCCCCCCCCTGTTACACCCACAAATGTAATAACGCCCACAAATGTAATAACGCCCACAAATGTAATAACTCTTTACCCACATATGTAATAACACCCACAAATGTAATAACACTTTACCCACAAAAGTAATAATTTCACCCACAAATGGAATAACCACTTTACCCACAAATGTAATAATTTTGAATCACCACAAATGTAATAATGACTTTACCCACAAATGTAATAAATTTGAAGTGATATTTTGTCGAATTTGTTCAAAACTAAAACCCTGTAATAAAGCATGGGTATAGCGCGCAGTCTTTACTCCAGACCCGGTTATTTCAAAAATTTAAAAAATCTTCAAAACTAAGACCCCATTATATCCTTTTCCTGTGGAATAACATGAGAATCGAGCGTAGTCTTACCTCCAGACCCGGTTATTCAAAAGTAAAAAAACAAAAACAAAAACAAACAAAACAAAACAAAACCTTTTAAACTAAGACCCCTCCATCTTCCAACATCACTGAGATGTACTTGACAAACAGAAATTCACTTAAAAGAAAAATGTTTCATTGTTCGTAATTGAATAACTTGAAAGTTGCAGTTCATACAACCGCCATTTTCGTGCTCAAATCGTAGGGAATTCTGGAATGAAATGCATGACCTAATACATAAAACATTTTGTCGATGGCCAATCAACAAACAGTATTGGTGTATTTTTTTTAACGTCATTGCTCATGAATATTCATTGACCTCCAAAACCGTCGTTCAAATCGGACAAACCCCCATAATGCATCCAATGCAAAACCTATGGAATGTCAAAGGTCACGATTTTAGTTGGCCCTCTACGGAGGACATACTGTGTATGATCCATAGAGATATCTCTATGGTATGATCGAATCTCTTTGAATTTATAAACAAAACAAAACGAATGCATATGAGAAATACATAATATATATTTTGTTAACCGCGTAGCTCTCTTCCAACCATGAAATACAGGATTAAAAAAAAGCCTCATGTCAGGTTTACCGGCTACACTGTTTTGTTACCGTTGACGATGAATATGTGATAAGATACACGTAATTTTTACTAGTATAGCAATGCAGGATTTTTGAACTGTCCACGTGGCATCATCTCTATTCTCAAAAGTAAATTCATGGTTGAAACCCCAAAATGCAAATCCTTTCAAGAAATCGACTCAAAGGCAAATTCAAGACCATTTTGTGGTACATATTTTCGGATTATGTACATGTAATATTAAGTCATTGTATTGTTCGCTAATTTTCGCCGATAGTTCGCTAATTGAAATTGCCTTGATTTCATTTCTTGAAAGTCTTTGCGATGGGGTTGGTAGAAAGAAGCCTTGATATATTTACCATGCATTGTGAGGGTTCTCTTCCCTTGTAGGTCGGTAACCCGGAGTTCGTGGATACTTCACCGGTAGACCGGGTTCGACCAGGTCATCGAGTTGGTTCACCATCTCCAAGGAGTCGTTGATGACTGACTGATATTCTTTGAGTACGGTACTCCCTTCCAATCCGAGATTGAGCTCGGCGGAGATGTCCTCTAGTTCCTTCACCGTCGGTCCCGTCACCATCGGGGAAACATATATAAGATCTTCTAAGATTTAAACGACGAGAAAACGCAGTGGTTTTAAATATGATTACAAAATTATTAAGAGGAGGCGCGATAACTCAGTCGGTAGAGCAGTGGTCTCGTAATCCGGTGACCCGGGTTCGAAACCAAGGCGATGCGCTAGTGCCCTCTGGTAAGGCATTAATCCTCATTACCAGGTCCCTCGGAGAGGACCTAAAGCCGTCGGCCGTCTGGTTGCTTACTTACAAGCATTTACGCTTTCTTAGCAGTCAGGTAAAATAACCACCACCACCAAGTACAAATTAATATGGACTTAAATAACGCCCAATGCGTGTTGCCTACTGCTCTCTACAAAAATCGAGTGATCATGTCACTCCTCTGGAGAGTGAAAAGTAATGAAAATAGAGTAAACATTCACTCTTTTCTTCTTAGAAAGCACTCCAAAATCATCGATACTCACTTAGTGATCACGGACGTCACTCCCAAGAAAGTGAAAATTCACTCTTTTTTTTAGAGAGAGTGGGGCTTCATATTTTGCTGTCGTGTGACGTACTGCATTAGCTAGAGCGAAGAATTTAAATATTGCTTAGATTTACTTGACATGTTTGGTTAGGGGAAATAATAAGCAATCGAAAAGATGCCTATAGTGTACATCGGACATAATACATCCACGATGTTTCTAAGCGCTAAACAGAAAGGTCATGACATTAGGTCTACTCCTGTCATCGGAATCGGTCTTGCGCGCTCACAAAACATGTAAATTGATATCATCATAGTACTATTAGTCATAATGTAATAAGCGCTGTCTTGCACAAGCACATACACAAATTAAGAACAAAAATAAATCGTTTTCATAAAGACATACACTTACATAATATACAAAATTACACTTAACGTATTTTATGGTATTTTATGGTAAAAAAGTTCAACCGATCTTGGAAAAAAAAATTGGGGCACGTTCCCCCCTCCCACCCCCAGTGCGCCCTGTGACTACGTGCCTGATAATTCGAAGTCACCAAAGTGGGGTACACTTTTTTCCAAATTAAATTTGAAGGTAGAAATTTGCAATCTTTTTCAGTGGGTCTCTGGCCCACCACATTATAAGTAGTCACAAATCTAAAAGCAATCATCAAAAGTTAATGTTCAAATACAAGTCGCTGATTCAAATATTTCCTCTCCTTTATCTGTGCGAAATTTGGGTGTCAACTTCGATAGCATGATGACAATGGATATTCAAGTGAAAAGAATTCGTCAAAGTGTGTATTCCCAGATAAGAAATGTCTGGATCAGGAGGTTCTTTCAGATAAGGCAGCTGCTGTAAACGTTCACACAGGCGCGTACACAGGGTGGGGGGGGGGGGGGGGGGGGGGTGGGGGGGGGGGGGGGGGGGGGGGG